GTTCATTTTTTCAAACAAACATTCTGTATAAATATACTAATAATAAGAGGCTCTTTGGTCACTGAATTGTCTCTTTTCAAGGTCTGTAAAGTGTCCAAGAACAGAGAGAAATCATTCCCTGTTCAAAAATCGGTATCTCATTAAAAACGGGATGATCTTGTTAAATAAATCATTCAAAAACATCAACTATATCATTAAATGTTCAAGAAACATATTATTTATTAAGTTGAGAAACAAATTCGGGGTCGAGAAGGCGGAAAAGTTCCGTCACCGCTTCTTTACCGACTCGAAAAGGAAAGTACCTTATGCCGACGGGGTTTGCCAGATGGAGACGGTTGTGTACGCGCACAAAGAACACCGCGCAAGTCAGTGACATAATAAAAAAATAATGTAAAACGAGTCTATGAGGCAAACTATCTATAGGGATCAAAATCAAAATCGTTTTTTTTTTTCAAGTAATAGTCCTGGAGTGTGAAAATCTGTGGAAATAATTAAACTTGGTTTTCTGCAAATCTTTACTGTTTAGGTAGAAGATTGAAAGGAGGTTGTTTTAAAGGATTTTAGAGATCTAGTTTGAATTTTCCTCCTTTCCTTTCACTAAACTGCAATTTAGTACAGTGTTAGTGCAGAAATATTGAAGAATTTTACAGAATTTTCCAAAAAAACCTATGAAATACCATGGAAAAATCGCAAAATTTTGTGATTGCTTTAAGCTTTTTACTCTTTAATATCCCTATTTTAGAAATCTAAGCTTATTTAGGTTTTAAAAGGATTTAGAAATCATAAACTTTGCTCAAATTTGAGATAAAATTTTCCATTTGCAATAGGGAAATTGGTGGGATCGAGTCTAGATTTGCTGATGATTACTGCCGATGATTGTTAGTACTGATTACAGGCTCGTAGTATTTGCCGCACACTCATCACTACAGTAACCTAGAATCGTATCTTAATCTTAGTCAAACAGAGTCAGATCTTAGTCAAAAATTAACTTATTTTCCCTCAAAATACCCGAATTTCGTTAGCTGATTACAATTGTGCCAAAAAAATAGATAGAATTGTCGAATTTCCGGGGGGTCGGACAAATGCGACCTTTTTTTGCGCACCTGGACATTTGCGCACCTTTTTTTTTGCTGGAAAAGGCCTTAGGAAAAGTCGTAGAGCTTCAAAAACGTTTTCATGGAAGGGAATCGTATGCGTAGATTCCGAATTTCGACAAATCAGACCTCGCTGACACGTCAAATTTGGGCTAAAAGGCAACAGCTGCGGAAAAGCGTTAAGTTGCGTAGTTTTTGCCTTTTAGCCCAAATTTGACGTGTCAGCGAGGTCTGATTTGTCGAAATTCGGAATCTACGCATACGATTCCCTTCCATGAAAACGTTTTTGAAGCTCTACGACTTTTCCTAAGGCCTTTTCCAGCAAAAAAAAAGGTGCGCAAATGTCCAGGTGCGCAAAAAAAAGGTCGCATTTGTCCCAACCCGAATTTCCTATTTCCAATCACTACTCGATCCAAATTAACCTTATCTTTCAACTATTCAACTATTCAACTATTCAACTAATTCACATCTTTTGTTATTTCAATTTTTCTAATTGTTATTCTCAAACTTTCGCCCACTCAAAAAAGGTCAGCAAAAGCAATCACAAAAGAAACGAAAATCAAAGAACGAGAGCAAAATTCGCTTTAGTTTGTGTGAATCGCATTTCTAAAAATGGAAACTTTTACGTAAATTGTCTATTTTCTTTAAAAAAAAAAAAGAAATTAATTCTTTAATATCAATTTTTCAAAAGAGAAAGTGAGGGAAATCCCTAAAGATTTAGTGCAATTAAAATCTAGCAAAAATCGAAAAAAAATTCTGTTCTTCTCAAGTTCAAAATGCTAAAATTAGTTATAGTTTTCGAAGTTTTAACGAAATGGGATTAATTGAGCGAAAAATTGTGTGTAAATTGGAGAATTTGCGAAAGTTTCAGCCCACGTACGGGCGCTTTGAAAGAAAGCAAAACATTTGTGAATTGAAAATTGGTGTGTAAACTTTGATTCGGTCACCGCTGCACTTTGCGCTCACCAACGACGACTTCTGGCACACTTTAAAAAGCAAGTGTGCCAGATGGGATGCGTTTACCTTGTACAAAGTTCTAGAAAGTTGTTCTAGAAAGAAAGCAAAACATTTGTGAATTGAAAATTGATGTGTAAACTTTGATTCGGTCACCGCTGCACTTTGCGCTCACCAACGACGACTTCTGACAGAACAAAAGAGTTGTGCGTTCTTTTCTTATGCGCTTTCCTTGATTCAAAGTAAACGCACGATATCTGGCAGACTTTAGCGTGCTAGGAAGTCCAGAAGAAGTCCAGAAGTCCAAAAGTCGTACGCTTGTTGGTGAGCACAAAGTACACAGAGTTTGATGAGCATAAAGTGCATCCAAATACACAACAAGCGGGCTTAAGAGCTGCAGAAACTTTCTAGAACTTTGTACAAGGTAAACGCATCCGCATCTGGCACACTTGCTCTTTAAAGTGTGCCAGAAGTCGTCGTTGCTGAGCACAAAGTAAAGCTGTGACCGAATCAAAGTTTACACATCAATTTTCAATTCACAAATGTTTTGCTTTCTTTCAAAGCGCTCGTACGTGGGGCAGAAACTTACATAAATTCTCCAATTTGCACACAATTTTTCGCTCAATTAATCCCATCAAAGTTTACAAATAAAATTTCAATTCACAAATTTGCTGAGAGTTCAATACAAATTTTCTTCAATACAAAAAGTGATGCCGAACTTGAAAATCCTTAATTAACCTTCAGCTGAAAAGTTCAGCTTAATTAACCAAAAAAATCGTTGAGCTTTTGAGCGAAACGTGTTTTTGAGCGTGAGAGCCGGATTGCTGATTTTAAAAAACACCAATCGAAGGCATAAACATTTATGATTCATCGTCAAATTCGTCAAAAATTTATACAAAGATTCTAGCTTTATTTCTATCATAAATACTTTTATCCATTCCTTAATACTCGTATAATATCGAGGTTGTCCGAAAAAAAAAGAGGTGGTCATCGGTTTGAGTCTGGAAAAATTTTCTCATTGCTTTTTCAAGGCTCATCATGGTGTCAAAAATGGTCTTGCCTCAGGCGCTGCCTCAGGCTTCACACAACAAGATCAAGTTGATTTTTTTGATTATTTTGTGGTCAATCATCGGCTAGCCAGCTCAAAATCCACGTATACATGAAAAACACACTCTTCAATTCCTCTATTTCATTGACAGCCGAGAACGCTGGCACAGAGGATGATTCCCTGAAATTGTAAAGATTAAATTATCATGCCAAGAAAATTATCAGCTCTCTTATAACTTGTATGAATTGTAATCCTCACTTTTGTTCCTTCAATTCAAACTTTCAAAATCCTCCGTTGTAAACAGATTAGCCCTTTGTTTATAGACTTTTTCAAATTTAAACCGCGGTCAGGGCCCAGAAGTGGCTCATTCCTTTTGCAAATTCCCTTTGCTTCCAATGCCTCTTTATCAAATTCATTTCCCGTTAGAGCCGCTAGATTATGGAACTTGCTCCCAAACGACATACGAGAAATTCAGTCGCTTTTCATATTCAAGAAACGTATCGATGCTTTAGATCTAGTGGCTCTTTGCCGTAAGTAATTGGCTTATTGATTTCAGTATGTATTGTATGATTAAGTATCACTGTGCATTTCTCTATGATTTCTTTCACTTTATCGTTTGAATAAAGTATTATTATTAATCAATCCACCACCATATTGATTTCCCATTCCACCAGCACCACCCAATCCGGCCAATCCACCGAGTTGATTCCCGACTTCACCAAGGTTATGGTCATCCCATTCAGGTTTTGCGAGAAAGCAATCTAGATTATTTTGCTTATTTTGTGATTTAGCCATTCATTTGGACAGACTTCTTTCATGGATTTCAGCTGGAAATCCAAAACATTCGCGGGGATTTGAACGCGCGACCACTCGCTTACCAGGTGAACCAATGAGCTACATTACCAATGATCTACAATGCCAATGAGCTACATTACATTTCCAGTGAGCTACATCACCAATGAGCTACAATACCAATAAGCTACATTGCCAATGAGCTACAATACCAATGAGCTACACCGACACTTATACCATTACCAGGGAAGGGCCTTATGCCTTACTATTGAGCTAAATCTGAACAATTCCCGAAAGCTCAGTTACCGCCATGAGACCGGCAAAAATGATAAGGTTAATTGAGAACATTTCAATGTTTGAAAAATGTTTAATGTTCAATACTTTTCAGTGGATTTTTTAAGAATCCATTTGGCCAAGTCTTAAATACTCAAAAGTTGTAAGTCATAAACTTGTTTTCCAACTTAATTTCGATCAAAATATTCATTTGTATTAGTCAAAATATAGGCAGAAATCTATTGAAGATCTTTTTGGAGAGAAAAACGGCTGAGCAAATAAAAGAGGGCAAATCAAGGCGTTCATTTTGAGAGAAACTTCGTTGCCTTTCGTGTCTTAGTTTGCTTATTTATTAGAATATCTTTAACAAATAGGATTTAGAGGATCAAAAACATTTCAAGATCTGAAGCAAAATTGGTGAGCGGAGATGGTGAGCCAAATTGAAACCCAACTTGCTGATTCGTCCAAACGATTACAGATTGGACTCAGCTTTTTCAAAAGCTTAATCACTTTTTTTTGACAACAATGATCTTTTACCTAATGTCTAGGATTAATAAAATTTGATTCATCGCAAAATCTCTCGTTTTTTTTCGTTTCCCAAACTTCTGTCCATGAATTTTTGTGATTTCTTAAAAAAATCTTTGTCAACGCAATTTTATGAGTCGTTATCAGTAAAAAAGGGAGAACGCTGAAGAAATAAATACCCAATGATGAAAGAAGAACAATAAAACCCAGGCATTTCACTGAAATTATCACATTATTTTTTTTCTCGCAAGAACTGGTAGAAGGCTAATATTTCTTTGAATTTTGTGTATTTTGAAGTGAATTTGTTGTAAAGAATGAAGCTCTTCACTCGATTGCGAGAAAGACAAAAGAGGATCGAGATGAAAGAGGTACAATCAGAGCTCAACCACGTCGAATACAAAAAAATAAATATCTGATAAATATCTGATAAATAAATAGTAAAGCTACGTTGAATTCTAGTACGAAAGCCAGCGGGATGAGCTCAAAAGTCTCTATGAAAATGACGATTTACGATTGGAGAGCGATGAAGGGAAAGGGGATGAGGAGAGGTTGGTCTAAGGATATATAGTCTCTAAATATATAGTCTAAATATAAATATATGGCTCTTTCCCTGAAGCGTGGTCTTTTGAAAGTTCCGTGGTCTTTTAAAAGTTTCGTGGTCTTTTGAAAGTTTCGTGGTCTTATCTCAAAAAAAGCCCATTTCGTGGTCTTTCGCTATTTTTTGCTTTTTCGACGGGTAGCTGGCCGTCTCAGCTCAACAAAGCATAAATCATCACAGGCTTTGCGTCCGTCAGGGCCAACATCTCTACATGACAAACTCTCAGCGTTGATATTGGCTGTTGATCGTCTTGTTTTCGAGCTTTCGAGTCTCGTCGCGTTTTCTAGCGCATCTGTTTCGACCTCTTCACCCAGCTCATTGTAGTCGGAGTCACCAGTGTCCGATGAATAAGGGTGAACCAAAGACATATTTTGCATATGCAATGTCATGCTCAATTCACTGTAAGAACGAAGCTTTCCGATAATAGACCAAGGATTGTTAGACCCTTCCCTAGGGTCTAACAATCCTTTAGGGTCTAACAATCCTTGGTCTAGCAATCTAACAATCCTAAGCCTTTAATCTTTAAGGATTATTCTTTAAATTCTGATCAAATACTGGTGCATGTGGAGCTTAATAAAATACGTTAAACCAATTTCAAACGACTTAAAAACTAAAAAAAGAAGAAATTGCAAAAACGGAATTTTTTTTGATAAAATACCACGAAACTTTTAAAAGATCAGGAAACTTTTAAAAGACCAGAAGACTTTTAAAAGACCACAATTCAGGGAAAGATCCAAATATATATTTAAAAGCGTATATAGTCTCTAAATATCTAGTCAAATCAAAATCTTTAGAGGCACTGATCGTCTTTTGTCTCGAATCGCCATTGTGTTGAATCTTCTATTGCTTAGCGGCAATCTGACAGCCTCAATTCTATCAGGATCTCTTGCAATCATCAGGTTTAAATCATTTTTCTTTTAGAAAAATATAAACTTCAGTACTCTCGTTGATTCAGCAATGGATCTAACAAGCAACATCATTATTGGCCTCTGTTTGATTTTGATTCAAAAAACGAACAATTTCCACTATCCACGAGGAAGAGAACGGTGAGTAGGGCTTCGTTTATTGCTATTTATTTGATTTGACATCGATTTGACATTGATTTGACAAATCCTATCATTTTTTTTCAGCCTCGAGCTCGTCGGTGTTCTCGTTTGTTCAATTCTCATGGGAGTCGCCAACATCGTTGTCATCTTTCAATCGATTTTGGCAATTGTTGGAGATAATGTAAATCTTTGATCTTTTATCTTTTATCTTTAAGAAGTTGAATCAATATTTTAGATGAATGCTAAATTGGACTACTTTTCCGGTGGGTTAATGTTGGCAGGAGCTGGATTGAAGATCGTGCTTGCTGTCATTTGTTTCAAGCGGGGTACTCCATCATCAAAGGTGAGCAATTGTGCTAATATTTATAGAGTAATTGAGCTTTTATCTCATCAGATCTTCAGGTATTCATTGTTTTCAGATTTTAGCAATAGATATGCGAAACGATGCGGTCACCTGTTTGACAGCGTTTTTCGCGGTGCTCATCGCTCATAAATGGTGGAAATACGCGGATCCAATTGGAGCGATATTGGTCTGGTGAGAAGATAAACAAAGATCTTATGATTGAAAAGTTAGCTCCAATATTGGCGAATCCTAGAGATTCTAAAAAGCCTAAAGATCTAACCTAAGTTCAAATCTTTAACAGTTCAGATCTTTAACAGTTCAGTTCTTTAAGAGTTCAGTTCTTTAAGAGTTCAGTTCTTTAAGAATTCAGATCTTTAAGAGCCTAAAGACTTTAAAGATCTGAACTCTTAAAGATCTAAAATCAAATCCAATATCTTAGCTCCGTGATCGCTTTCAATTGGTTTTCTCATGCGATCGAAAACATTCCACAATTGGTCGGAGTGAGGGGAGAGTCGCATTTGCTCAGTCGAGTCATCCGCGTCTCGATCAAACACGATCAAAGAATTAGGTACTAAAAGAGTTACTATATTAAGAAATAAACTTTCAAAAGAGTTAAATCAAAACTTATTTAGGAAAATCGATCATGCAATGGTTTACCAAACGGGCTCCACGGCGACTGTTGAGATCCACATAGTTCTCGATGAGAATATGCCTCTAAAGGTACAATTTTTAAAATCATAAAGAATATTTGAGCTTTAAATCTTATATTATTAGGAAACCCATAACATTTGCCATCCATTGGAGAAGAAATTGTCAAGATTGGATGGTGTGGAAAGAGCATTTGTGCACTGTGATTATGAATGTGATGGAGATCATTTTATTGAAGGTTTGTCTTTCAATTAATCATAAAAAAATAAGATAAAAATCTAATCGTAATCATCGGGAATGTTCAAGAAGTGACCAAGAGAGGGGAAGTGAGCTGAAAATTCACAAATTAGAGAGGTTGACAGTTGGAGAACCGTACCGACTGAGTAACCATTTGAGCCGCCGACACCTGCTGCCGGTACAGCCCAGTGACCATTCCAGGCTAGCTAAATTGACTCAATTTGGATAAAAGTTGCTGTTAAGGCTGAGATATTGCTATCTGATACCTTTTGATGCGACTAACAGTCAGTATTGGATGATTCCCTACTTGATTAGGTAATTGATCCATAGACCTAGTAATGGATCAATCAGCAGTTAGACTAGCCTAGTACCAAGTCTTGACTTTCGCTTACCTGTCCATTCACCCAATCAGCAGTTAGCCTAGCCTAGTACCAAGTCTTGTCTTTCGCTTACCTGTCCATTCACCCAATCGGCAGTGACCGAAGTTGGCTGATAATAGAATTTATTTGCGTGATCACGATTGTGCGGGTCGTCGGGGTTTGGCTCCCAGAGACCTGTAATTATTCTTCATCAGCGCTTAACAGCTTTTGTTCGGCTGATTTTGATGTCACCAGTTGTCACTTGATTTTGATGTCACCATGGTGCAGTTGAGAGCTAGTTTTTCTACAGACCACACGGACCGGGTTCAACCCCCCGTACTGCAGTTAATTTAGAATTGTCAGTTTTTTATTTTAAATGGCACAACTACAATATATTCTATTTTCTAAAGAAGTTTTAGCTTTATGGATCAAAACACGGCTGAGAAAATGTCCTTACAGACAGACAGACAGACAGACAGACAGACAGACACTGCTCTTTTAGATATAGTAGATTGAATCAATCAAGTCAAACCAGGTTTCGACCAGGGACTCCTCGATCTAGGTCGATGTGCAAGACCGCGAGAATCGGTGAACTGATCGAAGTCTTTGAATGCATCGCCTGATCCGTAGGCTGCGTCAGACGGGATGATTGGAATCTGGCCTTGATGAGCTCTGAAAAAGTTGTCGAATTACTTGAAATTCTTTCACTTACTTCGGATGATCGCTTTTGATCAAAGCTTCACTGGCGGCTCCGTAGTTCTTCTTCGAATCGAGTGTGGGCTCCTTTTTTCGTGAGCTAGAGGATTAGAGCTGTTCCAAAGCTATGAAAAGCTAATAGTAAGCCTAGCCTTGGCAAGAGTTTGAGAACAAGCACTCTACACCAACCTAATGGTAAACAAGATAAAGCAAGTAAGCTTTGCTTTGTCTCAAGAACATCTATGACTTTAATTGCTCTGAATTAAACCTCCAATCTCGTGGATCCGGCGGGACAATCATTGGTGTTTCTTCTTTTCACTATCATCATCTTCTTCACTAACATCAACTTTTCTTATCGCTCTTGACTTGATATGAGCTTTCAAGATTCTAGAAATTCTTCAAGAAAGTAAAAAAATCGAAAATTTACCTTCTAGCGTCCAAATCGCTCATCTTGGGCTCAGTTGGTGCTAAAATTTGACAATGATATATAGTAAAGTAATTGTTTGTAAAGTATACCTGATTGAACTTTGTATAGATAGAAAATGAGCAAAAAAAATAGTAAATTTCTCATTGTGAACAAAAATATCTAATGTTATTCACAGCATTGATTTGAGCAAGCTTTTAGACAAAAGATAGCTGAGTGAATGACACCAATGACACAAGAAAACACACAAGAAAACCTTGAGCTTAGAAAAAGGAGAAAGGGGAAAGAAAGTGAGATTCATGTTTCAGTTTTCCTTTCTCATAGTCAATCAAAACAAAAATGTGCTTGAAGTTTTTATAGCCTTGATTTTGAGAGTTCTAGAGAAAATTGCAAGTTTCAGCTTAAGCTCTTGTGTAAAAGTGTTTAAAAACAATTGTATAAGGAAACCTTGAGCTTAGGAAAAGGAGAAAGGGGAAAGAGAGTGAGATTCATCTTTGTTTTGATTGACTATGAGAAAGGAAAACTGAAACATGTGCTTGAAGTTTTCATAGCCTTGATTTTGAGAGTTCTAGAGAAAATTGCAAGTTTCAGCTTAAGCTCTTGCTAGTGTAAAAGTGTTTAAAAACAATTGTATAAGGAAACTTTGAGCTTAGAAAAAGGAGAAAGGAGAAAGAGAGTGAGATTCATGTTTCAGTGGTTTCAGTTGAGTTCAGTTGAGTTTCAGTGAGATTCATGTTTCAGTTTTCCTTTCTCATAGTCAATCATAACAAAGATGTGCTTGAAGTTTTTATAGCCTTGATTTTGAGCGCTCTAGAGAAAATTGCAAGTTTCGGCTTAAGCTCTTGTGTAAAAGTGTTTAAAAACAATTGTATAAGGAAAAGTCATTGTAAGCTTATCTAAAAACAATTTGTCTTCTCATACAATGTCAATTTGTAGCAAGGTTTCAAGTGTACTTTCTAGTTATATTGCAGAGAATCTAATGTAAATCTTTCCTGTAAATCTTTCCCCAACAAGTTTCTTTTCGATTTGGTCTTTGGTTTCTTTTCGTTTCAAAACTTTTGACCTTTTAGAAACTTGCAAATCATTTTCAATGGCTTTGAAAACCTTTAATCGCAATTTTTAATCGCAATTTTTTTTTTCTAGTCAACTCTTTCTTAGGATTACTATAAGAGAAATCAATTACTATAAGAAGATTGAAATGAATCATTTATAATTGTGGTGTAATTATTCAATGTTCAATGGATTTTCTTGTGAATTCTTGTGAATTGTGAATCCACTCTAATTTAGATGCAAAAAGGGCTCTTCTCGACAAAAATGAAGCGAAAAATGGACAACAATAAGCCCTAATTTCTCTAAAATTTCAAATATTTTCTTCAATTTTCCTTTATTTATTTAAATTTTCGATTCGTAAAGGATTTCTTTAAGTTAAATTCATTTTGTTTTTACAAACGATTTGTAATTTTCTATGTGTACATAAACTTTTTTGTTTTGTTTGAGAAAATTAGCGTGGTTTTTGATCAATAAAGATTCCTGTACTGTAACAGATGTACTGTAATAGATGTACTATAACAGATGTACTGTAACAGTTGTACTATAACAGATGTACTGTAATAGATGTACTGTAACAGATGTACTGTAACAGTTGTACTGTAAAAGATGTACTGTAACAGTTGTACTATAACAGATGTACTGTAATAGATGTACTGTAACAGATGTACTGTAACAGATGTACTGTAACAGATGTACTGTAACAGATGTACTGTAACAGATGTACTGTAACAGATGTACTGTAACAGATGTACTGTAACAGATGTACTATAACAGATGTACTATAACAGATGTACTATAACAGATGTACTATAACAGATGTACTATAACAGATGTACTGTAACAAATGTACTGTAACAGATGTACTGTAACAGATGTACTGTAGCAGATGTACTATAACAGATGTACTGTAACAGATGTACTGTAACAGATGTACCAAAGGACAGAATCAAATCAAAGCTATTCCCTGATTATGTTTTTTTCTAGCAATGTCTGTCTGAAACAAGAAAGCAAGCAAAGGCACTGAGTTACCTTTGATTACCTTTGATTACAGTATCAGTTACAGTTTACCTTTGATTACAGTATCTTTCCATTTTGTTACCTATAAGCCTAGGCCAAAATAAAAAAAAGTATCTTCTTATTTTTCTAGTCCTTCTCAGTTTTTCTACCCTATCTAGAGCTTTTAGACTAAATGGTCAAATGTTTTAATACTTTCTCACGCGCTGGATCCACTTGGGAGTTAAAAAGTGTTAATTGAAAACCGTCTCGCATTTCTACAATTCAAAATGAATACAGTTCAAGTAGAGAAATTTAAGAAAACCTTTTGAAATTTGAATCGCTTATCTTTTCTGTTTAGTTTACTTTCGCAAGTTCACGTTGTTCGACCTCAAAACGTTTTCCAATACTCAAAATTTTATCACTACTAGAGTCCAGAGATTTAGGTAGAATTCCTCTTATTACTTTAGTTTTGTCTAACTACGGAAGAGTACTAGATCTCGGATTTCGGGAATTTCGAAACCTAGACAATTCAATAGAAAATCGAATGGGGAATTCGAATCTGTAATCAAAATCTGCTGAATTTGGCATGAAAGTTTTTGCTATACATCCTTGAGCTGAGTTTACGCTTTTTGGTTCAATGGTCATGGTGTAGCGGGTAGTGTGCTTGTCTACGAAACGAATCGAATTTTGCAGTGAGTTCGAATCCTCCACTTGACGAGAGTCTATAGTAAAATCAAGAGAATTTTACTTGATATTTCATTTTTCTTTTTGTCTGAGTCCATTTTTGTTTGTTATATTTGTTATATTCTTGTCGATTTCCTCGATTTCCTCCTTTGGGATTTCTTTTCCTTTCTCGTGATTTATATCGCTCATTACTAATTTTTAAAAAAAAAAAAGCTCAAAAATTTTTCATAAAACTCTATAGAATTCGTTTGATTCACTCATTATCTTAATTTTTTAGGGTTTTTAAAAAGCTCAAACAAAGCTGAGCTTTTGAATCAATTTCAGTCAAAAAAAAACTTTATAGTTGTCCTAGAAATTTCCTCTTTCAAACACGCAAAGTGAGCCTCATTTTTCACACGTTTTTTTTTCGTTTTTCCAAAAACAGTTATGTATTTGTAGCTTTTGGATAAAATTTTGCTGAAATCAGGTTTCCGTTTTTTTCCGGGCGAAAAAAAGCCAAGAATTTTCCGCTTTCTAACTCGAAATTTTGCTTTAGATTCTTTTCCTTCATTCAACTGGAAAATTAGAGTTTTTGAGGGGTTTTCTTTTCACAAAAAATCCATTATTTTTTAATCAAATATAGAAAAATTGTCGTCATTACCGAAATATTTTCAAAAAATTGCATAAATTGATGGAATCTCTTCGCTTTCGTCAATTCTTCCTTTCAGTTTTTGTGACTGAACTCTACTCACAAGATTTACAGCAGTAAAGCTAAGCTCACGATCGGATTCGCTTTTAAAATCTCAATCTTTATTGTGCACGTTTTTCTTGAGTTTTAACCTACAAAATTACCCTGAGAACAGAAATTTTTTGTTGAACAAGAACCTTTGCTTTCGTGATTCTTCAATCTTTGACTCTATAATTACTATTTAAAATGTTTTCAGATGTTCTGTTGTGTCGGAAGAGAGCACACGATCAGTGCTGAGGGTTCTTCTCGATCACACGATGCACATGCGAAAGATTTGAATGATCGATTGGTTGAGAAGATTCTTTGTGCTGTTGGGGAGATTCCGGAGGGAGGGTGAGGGTTGTGGGACTTTTGATTGGCAGCCCTTGGCACCAGTGGCAATCCAACTTTGAACTCTAAATTCTTGGTGTTGGGCTTTTCAATATAAATAGTTTTTATACGAATCGACAGAGAAAGACTTGGCGCATCTAATGATACCAAGAATTCATAAATTCAACAACCCAACACCAAGAAATTAGAGTTCAATTTCAGTTCAGTTCAAGTATTTGTGTGCCGAATCCCCTCTATCACGCGTTTGGATGTGTAGCGGGTTTGCTAACTGCTGTCGCTCATTCACAAGTGGATCAAACATTTGATACGCATCCCTCCTTTAGCAATCTAACTTTGAACTCTAATTTCTTGGTGTTGGGTTGTTGAATTTATGAATTCTTGGTATCATTAGATGCGCCAAGTCTTTCTCTGTCGATTCGTATAAAAACTATTTATATTGAAAAGCCCAACACCAAGAGATTTGAGTTCAAAGTTGGATTGCCAATGGCAAAGGGCGCTCCTTTTATACGCGCCCCGCCCCCTTTTGCCATTGGCAATCCAACTTTGAACTCTAATTTCTTGGTGTTGCGCTGTTCAATATAAATAGTTTTTATACGAATCGACAGAGAAAGACTTGGTACATTTAATGATACCAAGAATTTATAAATTGAACAGCCCAACACCAAGATACTTGAGCTCAAAGTTGGACTGCCAATGGGAAAGGGGGGGCGCCGACCCAATTCACTAGGATAACGGCCTGTTATGTTTAAAGAGATTAATATAGCTTACTTAAAAGTTAAAAACATGAATCAAATTGGTTTACAACTTGTATCATCATTTTCTAGCGTAATCATAAAGGAAGCGCCCTTTGCCATTGGCAATCCAACTTTGAACTCTAATTTCTTGGTGTTGCGCTGTTCAATATAAATAGTTTTTATACGAATCGACAGAGAAAGACTTGGTGCATTTAATGATACCAAGAATTCATGAATTCAACAAACCAACACCAAGAAATTAGAGTTCAAAGTTAGATTGCTAATGGCAATGGCGGCTATCAAATGTTTGTCTAGGGTGAGTGGGCTTACGTTAGGTTGAATCAACATTCAATTATGTTTTGCTAACTTTTAAAAAGCTTTATACTTGATTGAAATTCTTGTAAAGAAAAACGTGAGAATTCTAAAATGGAAAGATCCGATTCAATTGGACTTTTCTCTCCTCTAGATAGATTCAGGCTTTAAGCAAATTTATGTCATTAATTCTTAAATAAAGTCTATCTAACTAGATTACATAAAAAAATTAATTACATAAGTTAACTTAGAACTTAGATAGACTTAAATAAAGTCTATCTAAGTTCTGTATTTTCTTTATTGTCTATATTATTTTTCAGCTCATAAACCTTAAAAATGACTTCAGAGATGAGCTCTCTTGAGACATCAAAATCAGCATCAAAGTTGAGAAGCTTAAATTAGTGTGCAGTGTGTGGGAGAATACCGATGGGGGCAATGATTATTAGATATTTATTCCGAATCTAGCACAATACTAATCTAGCGAGAAAATATAAAAGAATAGAATCAATCGTTGGTTCAATGTTTCATAGCAATACGAAAAAGCAATATGACAGGAAAGGGGAAAGAATATGAAAGGACAATATAAAGTGGGCTCCGTTCCTTTTATCCGTCCCATTTATCATAAAAGCGATCTTTTAGAGGCGGGACGAGAGAATCAGATATTCAAATCAAAACATTAAATAAGATTTCACAGAAAAGAGCCACTTTTCTGCACAATTAGCATAAAGAGTTGGCAAAGTATTAAAAAAAAGAGTAAAAAAATAGAAAAGAATGAAAGTTGAAAGAAATTAAATGTTGATTTTTGGGAAATACATGGATTTTTACAAGATAAATACAAGATAAATAACTAAAGTTTCAGAAAAAGCGAATTCGAGGTGAATGGGACGAAAATAGTGGTGATTTTCGATCGCGGGAAATACTACGGTATTGGCGCTTATTGTCCCCATTTGAAAGGACGTCTAATCAATGGTGAGAAAAGGGAAATGGAAATTTTATAAGAAATTTTAGAAGAAATTCCTTTAATTAGAAGAAATTTCAGGTGTTTACCGGAATGGTTTCATTCGTTGCCCATCACATGGCGCTAAGTACGATGTGAGCACGGGGGACATCGAGGATTTCCCAACGTTCAACTGTCTTCCAACTTATAAGGTAGATAAAAGCAAAGAGGATTTGATTTCGATGTTGAACAGTCCCTTGATGATCCGTTGATTTTTAAACCAACTTTTAAAGTTGAGCCGATTGAAATAGCGTCGAACTTTAAAGAGACTTTTTCCATGCATAAAACCTTCTTTAAATACACTTTTTGTTTCATCAAAAGACTCCACTATTTCTCTACAAAATGACTTTTGAGAAATTTCCACAAAGCTTTTCTTTCTTTGAGTTTATGAACTCTCAAACACAGCTAGACAAAATGGTAGAGTCCGAGGTACTTTCCCATTATACCCCCCACACAATCCCATTGTACCTCCACAGAATCAATCCCATTACACCCCCATATTTAACAAAAAACAAGAAAATTTAGTTTGCATCACACGCATCAATCCATTATACATAATTAGCATCAGTAGAAAGGTTGACTAATTCTCTAGAAAATGGCATTTAAAAGAGAACTCAAACAGCGCCTCAGCTCAACAAAAGGCCATTTTTTCACAAAAATTATAAACTGTCATCTAGAGAAATCGGCTTAGGAGATCTTGCTGAAAATTTGGCAATTGATAAAATTGAATTTGCTCTATCCTTTTATCTAGACACCAAAGAAGGTTTATTTGGAAGAAACTGTTCAAAAAAGTCGGACTCGGTACTCTCCCATTATACCCCCACACATCAATCCCATTGTACCCCCACATTTAACAAAAAACAAGAAAATTTAGTTTGCATCAATCCCATTATACCCCTCAAATGACAAGTTTTAAAAAAGCTTCTCTAACTACAATCTACAATTCATAATGACACACAATAAATTCACAATTCAATTTTTGGAGGCCATGTGAAGGCAATCCTTTTAAGAACCCAATCAAAGTAATCGATCTTTCCCAATTCAGTTCTGACTATGAATTTCGCAAGGTAGCTTTCCAAATGATCACGTGATTTACCGCGGTGCTTCTTATTCCGCCACTTTGCGCTCCTCCATAACCACTGGATAGTTGATGTGTGAATAGAAGGGTCCGTTGAATTAAGAAAGTTCTTCGAGTTCTTCTTTTAGAAAAACATCATTCGGTCAAATGCTAATTTTTTAAAATGGGATTGATGCTGTGGGGGTATAATGGGATTGATGATGTGGAGGTACATTGGAAGAGTACGGAGTCCGACTTGTTTGAACAGTTTCTACCAAATAAAGCTTCTTTGGTGTCTAGGATAGAGCAAATTCAATTTTATCAATTGCCAAATTTTCAGCAAGATCACTTAAGCCGATTTCTCTAGATGACAGTTTATAATTTTTGTGAAAAAAGGCCTTTTGTTGAGCTGAGGCGCTGTTTGAGTTCTCTTTTAAATGCCATTTTGTAGAGAATTAGTCAACCTTTCTATTGATGCTAATTATGTTCCATTTAGTAAATTTTAAGAGCTTTAAACGTGTATTTAAAGTTCTCCCCAACCCAATATTTTAGAAGCAATCTTCAATCAAAAATTGACAAAAGTTATCACCCTTTTTAAAGCTCTCAAACGTTTTACATAACAAGATTGTTCTAGAGTGTTCTAGAGTTCTAGAGCAAAGACTCTTCCAAGTCTTCTCAACTAATCTTATACTTTAGCTAACCTTGCATACATAGAAATATCTCCAGGTCTTCCAACGAGGCAACTATGTGGTGGTGGAGACACGAGAGAGCAGTCTCCACTCTCTTGCATCAACCGATTGGACTGCAGCGATCCCGTCATCATCGAACTCACCTCTACAGCAAACAATCATTGTTATTGGAACTGGTTAGATATTAATATCTAAAGATATCTTTTAAAACCTCAAACATTTAGGACCTGCTGGTTTGACTTTCGTGGAAACTTTGAGAAAACTCGGTTGTACAAAGAAAATTGAGATGATCACACAGGAATTCGAGCTTCCATATGACCGAACAATGTTGAATAAGGTTTTTTTGATGTTATAGAGAAGATCTTTAGAAGTTTAAAATTTCAGAAATATATAGCAAATGCAACGGAAGGGCGGTTACATGATGAGGAATGGTATAGCCGGATGAATGTCGAAGTGAGAACAAATACGAGGGTGAGTGACGGAGAGGAAGAGTCAGCCGGACATTCTTTCCAGGTTCTCTACATCAATCCAAAGAATAAAACACTTGTCCTGTCAAACAGTAGTTGTATGTACTATTCGAAGCTTTTCATTGCGATGGGATGTGTGCCACGAAAATTGAGTGTTCCTGGCGGGAAACTGGCAAATATCTGTTATTTAAGAACGGTAAGCATGCAAAAAGATGGCATTTTTGCAGGCAAATATGCAAAAACAACGTATTGGATTGGTGAATTGAAAACTGCGGGCTATTTCACGGGACTCGTAGATAAAAAACAACAGCATTAAACCAGCTGAAAGGGGGTTTGGTTATTTCAACATTTCCTTAAATTATTGCGAAAAAATTATGCTTCCATTTTTTTATTTTTCTTCACTTCTTCTATTGCACTCGACAAACTGCCACCGGGACATATTCGCCATGTTCGCCATGTTCGCCATGCTTCATGAGTTCCTACAAGAGCACAGTGCAGGCTTGGCAGCTGCTAATATTAAAAAGATATATGGGGAGGACTCACCTTCCGAAAGAACGTGTCGAGTATGGTTTGCCAAGTTTCGATCTGGGGACAAATCTTTGAAAGATGCAGAGGGCCGTGGAGCGGCACCCCAACTGGATGATTCCAAATTACTCGAACTCATTACCAACGACCATCGGATATCATTGCGTGAATTGGGAGATGAGTTAGGGGTTGATCATGCTACAGTGCTAAGTCACCTTCATACCCTTGGATTTAAATCGAAACTTGGGGCTTGGGTGCCCCATGACCTCAATAACCCCCAGAAGTGGCGCCTCGATCAGTGCCGTCCATCTCTCACAATACAAAAGGAAATCTTTTTCTTTCTCGAATTGTGATAGGAGATGAGAAATGGGTTTTATCTGTGAACTTTCAGAGGAAGTGTCAATGGGTGGGGCCAGGCGAGAAACCCGAAAGTGACCCTAAGCCCGATTTGACTTGTCTCATGTTCAATAAATTTTAGTTCAAAGTCCCGCAGTTTTCAATTCATCAACCCAATATTTTTAAATATTAAACTTTAAAATTTATCTTTTAGATGCAAGATTCGGTTCATTTATGGAATCGTGCAAAAGGAGCTAACGTCGTCTGCATCGGTGGATCGTTTATTGGTTTGTGCAATTAATTAACTGGTTAGGAAGATTAGAAATTAGAATTAGGAAACTTTAGAATACTAGAAAGTATATTAGGAATGGAGGCAGCAAGTGTTTTGGTGGGAGTGGCTGAATCGGTGACCGTCGTTTGCACCACCGAAGAACCATTGCCAGCTTTTGGGAGAGATGTGGGTGCAGCGTTGAGAAAGGTAAAAAAAACAGAGAAAAGAATGGAAAGAATGGTAATTTCAAATACTTATTAAACAGTTGATGAAGCTAATCTTATAGAAGAGTTTAGTATTTTGATCGAAAAGGAATTCGAGTTATCACACGTGGTCGAATCGAGTACTTGAGTGGGAGTGAGATGGGAGCGGTGAGTTGTTTCAGCTGCTTACAATGTTAAATATTCACAATGTTTACAATGTTTTACAATGTTTCAGCTGCTTACAATGTTTTATTAAATATTCACAGTAGAATTCTATACATTGCCTTATATAGTTTGGGATGCGAACCGCTTTAACCTTATCAACGAGGATGATTCTGCTTAAGAATGACCGAATAGCACAAAAGGTTAAAAGGGTTTCCCCCCAAAAGCGCTTACAACGTAACAAGAACACGTAGTATCCAACAATAGATTAATACTCTTGAGAAGAGTACAGATCGGATTGATACTACGTCGATGGTGACACAAATGTTAGTAGAACAGTCTTTCTACAATGTTAAACCAGTTATCTAAACAGGATTTAAAACCTGAAGGGTAGCATAAAGTAAAGTGAATTTATAACGTTACTGTTTATTAGTACAAAACCGAAATGCAACAATACCCATTACAAAAACAGCATGCGCATCAAAAATGAAACAACAAAGTTCCCGGCAGACCAAAAAAAAACGCGAATAATTGCAAAATAGAAACGCAAATAGGAAGGAAACGGACGCGACCATATAAACTGTTCAAAATATGTGAAATTTTCGTTTTCATTTTCATTTTCAGGTGGAAGCCGTGCATCTGGTTGATGGAGAGATTTTACCAGCTGACTGCGTGGTGGTTGGAATTGGTAAATGTTGATAGAGTTGTAACAAAAACATCGATCAGTTCTTTTAAGGTTTTTAATGTTTTTCTCAGCAAAAACCCTACGATTTTGTCTATTTTGATTATCATTTGATGCGGAATAAAATTGCGCATCGAATGATACGAAAATGAACTCGAAATTAAAAATGGTCACGGATTTAGTAGAATTTTTCAAAATTGTAAAGGGTAAAATATCGCTCTTTTTCGAGATTTAATCAAAGTTAATCCCACGGTTAGTTCAAGGAGTTTCGTTCTTTCGTTTTAGAAATTCCAGTCACCTCCAATAAGTTTGTGTATACCGTATTTTCTGTAATGCGCACTACTATTTTTTGCGCACTACTATTTTTTTCGCCCCCCCTCCTCCAGCCTGCACTACGATTAAAGACTGCACTACTATTACAGAAAATACGGTAACTTTTTTCCAATAAGAACTGCCAGAATTAATCCCACGGTTGATTCAAGGAGAGAATTTCATTGAAAGATCAAAGAACTTTATTTTAGAAAGAAAGAGATGAAAGAACTTTATTTTAGAAATTCCAGTCACCTCCAATCAATTCGTGTCTAACACTTTTCCAATAAGAACTGTCAGAATTTGGAATCGACTCCCCAGAGTTTCGAGAGAGTCCAATAGTCTCGAAATCTTTAAATTATCTGTCGATGGTGTTGATCTTGAAGCTCTAGTGGATTCTTGACACTATCTGTGCTATCCATAGATTACATACATTATCTGTAGATGATGTTGATCTTGAAGCTCTAGTAGATTCTTTGGCGTTATCTGTGCTATCCGTTACATACATTATATCGTGTTGCTTTTTTGGCGGCCCTTTTCGTGTTATGTGTATGAATTGATGTGTATTAAATCTTAAATCTAGCGCACTTTATTCTCAGGTCCTAAATAAATTATCTATATATATATACAGTGGCGGACAATTAAATAGAACCGAGGGAATTATTTCGTGTCTTCTCTCTCGTGCATTATTTTAACTTACTTTCAAAAGTAAAGTAAAATATAGTTCAATATACATCTATTAAACAGTTTTCGAGTTTTCTGAAAAAACTTTGAGGCACTTAAAAATGCATGAAAATAAAAGTATAGTTTTACAACTTTTTCCTGAGGCGTTTTAGAGCATGATAATGTTCAGCAAAAAGATTCTCCGTATTCGATTTAGTGGGAATAAGCTTTTAGTTTGTGGAAATTCGTTGAAATTTAAGGGTTTTCGGGCATCTGAAAGTGCTCAAAAACGACGATTTTTGGCTATTTTGCCGTTTTTTCTCTTTTTTGACCCTTTTTGAGCACTTTCAGATGCCCGAAAACCCTTAAATTTCAACGAATTTCCACAAACTAAAAGCTTATTCCCACTAAATCGAATACGGAGAATCTTTTTGCTGAACATTATCATGCTCTAAAACGCCTCAGGAAAAAGTTGTAAAACTATACTTTTATTTTCTTGCATTTTTAAGTGCCTCAAAGTTTTTTCAGAAAACTCGAAAACTGTTTAATAGATGTATATTGAACTATATTTTACTTTACTTTTGAAAGTAAGTTAAAATAATGCACGAGAGAGAAGACACGAAATAATTCCCTCGGTTCTATTTAATTGTCCGCCACTGTAGATAAAATGTAATATTCATGCAAAGTTGTTGGCTAAAAACTCTCCATTATGTCCGGCGACTTAATCCTTTGCCTTTTGCCTTTGTCTCTGTATGAATTTGAGTTAATTTTAGTATCATTAGATGGGAAATTTGATTTTGCATCGAATGATAATCAAAATAATCAAAATTGAAGGGTTGATGCTGAGAAAAATATGAAAAACCTTAAATTGTTAATGGCAAAAAAAGAATCGACAGATATTTTCTTTACAAAATTATTTCAGAATCTTTTATTTCACTAATCAAGCACTAATCAAATTTAGGAGTTCATCCAGATACAGACATTTTGCAAACATCCGGTTTCCCCGTCTCGAATAACGGCTACTTAATTGTTGATGAAGAGATGCGAGTTGAGGAGAACGTGAGATTTTGCTCAATCGTAAAATTCATTGAATCAACACACCTGAAATTTGAAACTTGAAACTTGAAACTTCAGCCTGACTAGCTTAATGCCTGACTAGCCTGACTAGCTGTTACCTAATTGTTAACAGCCATTCTTCAGATCTGGGCCGGCGGTGATATGACTCAATTCCCGCTCGCTCTTTGGAACATCCCCGATGCACACATCGAGCACTTTCAAGTGGCCCAAAAACATGGTTTACTAGGAATTTGATTCATTTTTCATTATGTTTTAGGGCAAATCGCCGCTTACTCATTGATGGAGCAAAAATGCACAAAAGATATTATTCCCTTCTTTTGGGGTCGCTTTTTCGACGCGTTATCGCTGAAATTCTCAGGTTTCCTCAAAAAATGGATGAGTGTTGCAATGTGTGTCTATAGGTCGTTCAGGTTTCAACGAAGACTACCTGGGCACGCTTTTGCATGGGGATTTGGCGAATTTCGAGTTCACTAAATATTATTTCAAGTGGGATTAAGGAAAAAAACAAAAAAAACAAAATCTTTTAGTTAACTTTAGCTTGAGTAATGTTTAACTCAAGTTTACACCTTATAAACTTGGCTAGAAAGTCAATATGACAGAGAAATCTAGCTCTAGAATTCTCTAGCTGAAAGTTTTCAAATCAATTCGATAGACTTGAATACTTGAAAGATATAAAATCTGATTTTTAGAGACGATTTTGTGATTGGTGTCGCATCAGCTGGTCCCTCGAATGCGGCTGTCGATTTTATCGATCTTTTTGCCCGAAAAATCAAAGTCACACGAAGAGAGGTTTTGTTTTAAAAACTGCAAACTTTAAATTAAAATAAAAACCTCTCAAATTCTGTTTAAAACTTAAATAAATGATTTATTCAGGTCGAGCAAAACATCACCGATCACTGGATCGATTGGCGATCTTCTTAAAGAATAATGAGAAAGAAAAATCAAAAACTTTTCGAATAAATCAATTTCTAATCGAATAAATGAAGATTTCTCGTGTTTTTCATATCACTTTTTTGAAAAAAGAGAGAGAAATGGCAGAGAAAACACTAAAGAAAAAAAATGAAAAGAGAATCTCTTTTCCGTTGCCTGATCAATCACCCCAGGAAATGCCAATTTCTGCAATTTCTTGTCGTAAATCGATTTTTCGCTATCGGTTATACCAACAAAATTGGCATCAAACTACTGTTTTTCGTAGTTCAACTTTAGCTATGCCTATTGTAAGTTAGTCTAGAAGTATGCCTTGAACATCTTTAACCCTTGAATTACACATAATTATTTATAATTTGTCTTGTTTATGGGGTTTATGGAGTGGTCCACAAAAGTATTGTCCCAATAAAAAGAATAATCAATGAAAACATCAATGGGACATTACTTTTGTGGAGCTATTTGTTAAGTAACTTTGTTTTTGTTTTTGTTTTTGTTATTGTTATTGTTTTTGTTATTGTTTTTGTTATTGTTTTTGTTTTATACTTTAATTTTTCTGCAATATATAAGGATAAATCTTATAATCTTGAAAAGTAGAGTATTATGGGTAAGCAAAATACCCTACACTTTTTGGGAATATCGTTATTTTGCAAGATTTTCGTATGAAAGAAACTTTTGGATGGCAATGGGACAATACTTTTGTGGACCACTGTATAACCGATAAATACCGATTTTTCTAGCTTTCTTTTTGACAAGATCACACTTGAAAGTGTCAATTTAGATAATTTTTTAGAAAACTCTTCTTTTATTAATCAATAAATTCAAAAATAGAATTTCAATCGAGAAAAGATTAGAAATTCTAGCAAGATAGAAATGCTATCGAGAAGTTTTAAAGTTTTTTGTATTCTATTTTGTCTTGTTGAGTGCTAAATTTACCTATATTGGTAAAAAGCGCTCAAAAAATCAAAAAAAATGAGATGTGTAATGTGTAGCCTTGAGATCTCTTTTCGCATCTATTAAACAAAACAGATCAAAGCTCTTTTTCGAATTGTTCATTGCTCAAAGAACTTCTCTTCAAGTTTTCCTTTTTACTTGATCACTGATCTTGGTTTTAGTTCGATATAAAAGATCTCGAAGATCTCGAACCTCGAAGCCTCGAAGCCTAAACATTTTGCATCTCAATCACTAATCGCTCAATGAAAAGGTTTGTTCAATTAAAATTTAGATAAAAATCTGTAGATTTTATTGATTTTATTGATTCAAACTGTTTCAAAAATAGAATTTCTCTCGAGAATTTAGAGTTTTTCTTTTTACTTACCTTTTCAGATCATATTTTTTATATTCTGGAGCAAAGAAAATCTCTTATGTTCACCAGGTGATAAGAAAAACAAAGAAAAAGACTTTTTGACTATTTTAGGCTTCTTCTATTCCATTTTTGAATGAAACAATTGGGCAACGATTTCGAAAAAGTACAGAGAAAAACCCAGATCGAATATATTGCATCTTTTCGAAGCAAAATGTGAAGAAAAGCTACGAGAAGTTGTATGAAGAGGTGGGTGAAAATTCTGACTATATTTCAAAGTATTTACAACCAATATAACTTATCAGCAAGCTATCAATTCACTGTCAGAGCTACCGCTTGGCCTCATCACTGATCGCTCTCGGCCTTCGACCGGGCGATCGAGTCGGCATGTGGGGACCGAACTATTATGAGTGGATTCAGACGCATTTCGCGTGTGCTCAAGCCGGTTTCGTTTTGGTGAGTCAATGAAACAAATACACCAAGAATAACAACAAAAACAACAAAAACAAAAACAACAACAATAACAACAACAACAACAAAAACAAAAACAACAACAACAACAACAACAAAAACAAATTCAGGTAAACGTGAATCCATTCTATCGAGTGCCCGAGTTAGAGTACGCGTTGAAAAAAGTTGGCGTCAAAGCTTTGGTGACTCCATCGAGCTATCGGAACTCACAATATTATGGGTATATTTTAAAAGGAAAGCTCTAACAAAGACTATATAAAAATCTAGAAAAAGATTTCAGATCGGTGACTGAGATCATCCCGGAATTGGTGAATCGAAAGCCTGGAGACGGAGAGGTTTAAAGCTTTCGCAAGATTTAAAACCAGATCAAAGATCAGATCAGATCAGATCAAAGATCAGATGAGATCAGATCGAAGATCAGATGAGATCAGATCAAAGATCAGATCAGATCAGATCAAATATCAGATCAGATCAGATCAAAGTTCAGATCAGATCAGATCAAAGTTCAGATCAGATCAGATCAAAGATCAAAAGAACAAAAGATTTCCAGATCAAAAGCCATCTCCTTCCAAATCTCAAACATTTGATTGTCTTTGATCCAAATGATAAAAGCAAAAAGTTCAAGTAAAAAGAAAAGTTTGCTTTTTCTTTTTAAAGGATTTTAGTGGAGCTTGGAACCTGGAAGATCTTTCAACTGGAGCCGGATCGGAGGCGGATCGTTTCCTAAAAGATATTCAGTCAAAAATCAATTACGATGATCCGTTCAATGTTCAATTTACTAGTGTAAGTTGTAATTCTCAAATTTTAATAACTTTTCAAGTTTTAGGGTACAACTGGATCACCAAAAGCTGTCACTTTGACTCATTTCAGTATTTTAAACAATGCAAATTTCATTGGACTAAATTCGAACTTTGACAAAACGGTGAAAATATTGAAAAATATTTCAAAAGTTTTAAAGAAAAAGGTTTAGCGAGAAGTTATTTGTGTGCCGAATCCCCTCTATCATGCGTTTGGATGTGTAGCCGGTTTGCTAACTGCTGTCGCTCATTCACAAGTGGGTCAAACATTTGATACGCATCCCTCCTTTAGCAATCTAACTTTGAGCTCAAGTATCTTGGTGTTGGGTTGTTGAATTTATGAATTCTTGGTATCATTAGATGCGCCAAGCCTTTCTCTGTCGATTCATATAAAAACTATTTATATTGAACAGCCCAACACCAAGAGATTTTAGTTCAAAGTTGGATTGCCAATGGCAAAGGGCGCTCCTTTTATACGCACCCCGTTGGTGTTGAGCTGTTCAATATAAATAGTTTTTAGACTATTTATATTGAAAAGACTTGGTGCATCTAATGATACCAAGAATTCATAAATTCAACAACCCAACACCAAGATACTTGAGCTCAAAGTTGGACTTCTAATGGGAAAAGGAGGGGCGCATATAAACTGACGCAAAATTCCACTAGAATAGATAACTGCCCTGTTATGTTTAAAGAGATTAATATAGCTTACTTAAAAGTTAAAAATATGAATCAAATTGGTTTACAACTTGTATCATCATTTTCTAGCGTAATCATTTTCTAGACTCTCCTCTTTCCAAGCGAGACTTTCAGTGCAGCAGCTGCTCTTCCTGCAATCGAAAAAGAAAAGTATTTATGGAAATTTTCTAAATAAAAATCATGATCTATTAGAGCAACATTTATCTACGGTACTCCAACGATGTTCATTGATATTTTGAATCATGAGAAATTCGAGAAAACTGATGTTTCGAGTGTTAGTGGAGGTGAAAATCATTAAAAGTAAAAGCAATCAGAAATGAAACACCTTTAAATATAAGATTTAGATGCAAATTTTGATTTATTCTATCAGAATCTTCGAGTTGACACTTTTTTTTGCTCGTCTTGTACACTCAAATTAAGGCTACATCTCAGCCGCTCCAATCCCGAAGCCGTTGATGGAAAGAATGTTGGAAAAGTTGAATATGCATAGGTAAATGAAAAAAAAAAGAAAAATTTGACTTAAGAATTTGACTAAGAGTTTGACTTAGAATTCAAGTGCTTTATGGATGCACAGAGGCATCGCCAGTCATCACAACAGCTACATTGCAACAGACACCACAAGATCGAATCAAGAATTCCGGTTATACGATGGATCATTCTGAGGTGGGGGCGCGGATTTCAGTTGTGAATGTAATCAAAAGATAACTGTGCTAAAAAAAGGCGAGTTTTAAGCATAAAGTCGACTAAAGACTGAATACCGTATCGAAATTTTTAGACAGCAATCATCAATCAACAATCGGGATTACCAGTGCCTAGAGGTCAGTAAAGATTCGCTGAAAATTGTATACTTCAGCATTCATTTCTTTACTTTACTTGGAACGAGGGATCAAAAACTTGTGCGCCGCAAAAACTCGAACCCGCGACCTTTCGCTTACTGGGCAACCGTGCCAACCAATACACTACAACCAAAACACTACAAACCTACAACCACTACAACCTTACTCCAGAGGGTGTTATCTCTTTATTACTAATGCCCGTGATCTGATTTTCAAGTAGGGTGGAAGCCTGAAGTTTTGAAGGTTCTGAAGGCCCGGGTATTCCCCTCTCTTTCTTCTTCCTTGTCTTTCCTATTTCTTTTTGGGTAAAGAAGACTAGAGCTCAATGGTAGAGCATCTGCTCGGTAAGCAGAAGGTCGAGGGTTCAATTCCCGATTCTAAACTCTTTGCCATTCATTTCTTTACTTTATTAACTTTCAGGTGAACAAGGTGAACTCGTCACTCGGGGCTATCACGTGATGAGAGGATATTGGGGTGACGAAGAGAAAACAAAAGAAGCGATTGATGTGAAGAGATGGTATCATACTGGGTAAGAAAAAAAATGAAGAAATGAAGAAAAAAAATATATTGTATAGAAAAAAAGATCCACAGAATCCTAAGGAAACAATTTTAGAGACATTGCCGTCATGGCCGACGATGGAGCTATTTCAATTGTTGGCCGATTGAAAGATATGATCATTCGGGGTAATTGAAAGTAGAAGAGTTTGATGAAAGCCAAATCTCAGCTTTGGAAGCTGAGAGCTCAGCTCAGCTCTCATAGCTTTAATTTAAAAACTTCTTTTATATAGGTGGTGAAAACGTGTACCCGGCCGAGATCGAGACAACGATTTTCCGGCATCCAGCCGTTGCCGATGTACATGTGAGTTTAAAAAAGACAAAGTTGCAAAATTTGGTAAAGAAATTAATATATTAATAATTGAAAGACTCAATTGCTATACAAAAACCAAGTTTTGTTTTGGTTTAGGTGATCGGCGTGCCGGATGTGAGACTCGGGGAAGAGATCTGTGCATGGATTCGGTTGAAAGATGGGAAAACGTTGACAGCTGATGAGCTAATCGATTACTGCAAAGATAAAGTAAAGAAGATAAGATGATATTGTTTTAAAGCTTTGTTCAGATGGCTCGACACAGTATTCCTCGATATATTCTCTTCAAAAAAGAGCACGATTTCCCGTTGACTGCCACGGGGAAAGTTCAGAAATTCGAGCTGCGAAGTATCAGTAAAAAAGAGTTGGGATTGGAAGATGTAAAAAGTCATTTTAATGAATAAAAATTGATTGATTCAGGCGAATTTCAAATTAGAGTATTTCCAAGAAAATTTTGGCTTTTAATTGAAAAGGAATGATTGTCACAGTGTCAAATCGTACAACAAAAATCTAGAACTTTAGCGTTCGATTTAGTTGATCTTTCAAGCGCATTAATAGAAACTAACACATAGTAAGTGATACATAAACTATTACTAATACATAGTAATAAATAGAAACTAATACATAGTACTATACACCAGCCAAACAAGCTCTTCATTACAAAGTCGACAAGGGGACAAGAAGATCAAGATCAATATCAAGCTTATTTTCTCACTCGAATCTCAAGTCTACCATTGAAATTGTCAAAGAAATTAACATACCGTAAATACTGTAATAGTACTATTACAGTTTATGCTGTACTATTACAGTACTATTACAGTTTACAGCCCACCCCTCTCGTACAGTCGCGTAGTCGCAAAATTTTTTTAGTATTTCATTTTTTTCAAAGCGCCCGTACTTTCAAAAAATGCGTCTTTGGTATCAAAAAAATAGCCCTGAATTTCAGCTATTTTTTGACACCTAAGCGCGCATTGTAGCATAAACCAGTGTCGAGAAAAACTCGTTCAAAGCTAGCCTACGCAACACTCCGCACCATCATTATGGGGGTGGGGTACTATTACAGTATTTGCGGTAAGTAATCAATTGTTTAACACAAAGAAGAGTTAATCCCTTTCTATAAAGCATTTCCTTTGTATAACCCGCATATCGAGGATTGTTTGAGAGATTTGTGGAAGCATTCGTGCGTTTAGCGCTCCTCTTTCCCATTTCACCCCAATTTTTACCCACTCAACGATAATCGATTGCCATCCATAGGGATTTATCTCATTTTTTTCTCTTTTAACTGTGACTAATCCCCTTTCCTTTCCAGGTAACCGCCTAATTTTAAAATTTCCATTCCTGAACTAGATATTCATTTTTTAAAATCGATTTTTCAATCATTTACCAACTAGGCTTTAGCAAAATTTACCTGATACAGTGGATGAGTGAGCACTCGCTCCATCGGCGCCCATAACACATTGTGAGCGTTCAAGAAATACTTATTAACCTAAACTTTGACTTATTTCACGGATGAGCATCACTTTCCCCCAAATAAAGCTTTAGAAATACGTTAGAAATACTTTAACTCCCCATTGCTCTTTTACAAAAACCTTACTCAATGAAGTATTTGACTTATTTAACTTATTTGACTTATTTGCTTTATTTGCATAACTAAGTAGTGTATATTTAAAGAAAAGAAAAACTCATATCCCACATATCGAGGATTGTTTGAGAGATTTGTGGAAGCATTCGTGCGTTTAGCGCTCCTCTTTCCCATTTCATCCCAATTTTTACCCACTCAACGATAATCGATTGCCATCCATAGGGATTTATCTCATTTTTTTTCTCTGTTCAACTGTGACTAATCCCCTTTCCTTTCCGGGAAGTCTTTTCGTCAAATGGATGAAAGGTTTGATCAGGGTGGATCAGAGCGGATCATCATTTTACTGACACCACCAGTTCTAGCATGATTTGTTCATAAATCAATTTCAATTCAATCAAATCTGACTATAACTTTTGCACTTCTTATCCTATTCTTTTTATTCAATGCCTGCTTGTTTTACGTTTTATGTGCTTCTTTTTGTTTTACTTGTGATTGATATGAAAAAGTTTAGCTTGTTAAGATTGCCTTGTCTTCCGTTTCCCTACTTCCCTTTCCCTTTTAATGGATTGAACTTTTCTTATCCTTAATCCTTTGCATTAATTGTTGGCCATTCCGGAAAACTGGTTACGATGAAAGTGAAGCAAAAATGCTTCTTTTTATTCAATGTCTACTTGTTTTACATTTTATGTGCTTCTTTTTGTTTTACTTGTGATTGATATGAAAAAGTTTAACATGTTTAACTTGTTAAGATTGCCTTGTCTTCCGTTTCCCTACTTCCGTTTCCCTACTTTCCTTTCCCTACTTCCCTTTCCCTACTTCCCTTTCCCTACTTCCCTTTCCCTACTTCCCTTTCCCTACTTTCCTTTCCCTACTTCCCTTTCCATACTTCCCTTTCCATACTTCCGTTTCCCATTTGCTTAAAATTAAATCATTTCAGAGATCAACTCGGGGTTTTCCAAAATGAGATTCTTATTTTTCTTATCCCTAATCCTTTACATTAATTGTTGGCCATTCCGGAAAACTGGTTACGATGAAAGTGAAGCAAAAATGCTTCTCAATCTCGCCGCTGGAGCTTATGCTGATTCAGCGTACGAGTGTGTGAATCGGTAAAACGTTACAATCTTTTCAAAATGCCAAAATTCGTTCAAGTTCTTTCAAAACTCAATTAAACCTACTCTCAATCTCAATCTTATAGTTAGAACGTTGATCTATAACTAAATTCCAAATTTCACAGAACATTCCACCCAAATGAGGGTCGAGAATTGTTGGAAAATGTCGGCGAGGAATGCGATATTATTTCGACTCTTTGTTCGGGATATGTTGTGAAATCAGATCGAATGCAACATTTGATTCTTGTTTTTAGAGGTTTGAGTAAAATCTTAATAAAATATAACAAAAGGAAGCGGATAAATTGAAAAGATTAAAGAAATTAGGCACAAAAACGAAGGTCCAATTGTTGCTTGAGGGCTGGATGTCTCAAACGGACGGCGCGGATTTCTTCCAGATGGGAAATGTCAGTTGAAAATCTCAATATTAACTAAGATATGAGTTTTTCTTTTCTTTAAATATACACTACTTAGTTATGTAAATAAAGCAAATGAGTTAAATAAGTTAAATAAGTCAAATAAGTCAAATAAGTCAAATACTTCATTGAGTAAGGTTTTTGTAAAAGAGCAATGGGGAGTTAAAGTATTTCTAACGTATTTCTAAAGCTTTATTTAGGGGAAAGTGATGCTCATCCGTGAAATAAGTCAAAGTTTAGGTTAATAAGTATTTCTTGAACGCTCACAATGTGTTATGGGCGCCGATGGAGCGAGTGCTCACTCATCCACTGTATCAGGTAAATTTTGCTAAAGCCTAGTTGGTAAATGATTGAAAAATAGATTTTAAAAATGAATATCTAGTTCAAAAATGGAAATTTTAGAATTATGCGGTTACAATCACTGGGCATTCGCTGGGCGGAGCACTAGCCGCATTAGCAGCAGCGAGAACGGTGAAACAAGGTAAACAAGGAAATATTTGAGTAGTTTATCTTCTAGAAATTGTGAGTCTAATTGCAAAATGATTGTTTAAAATGGTTGTGAATAGAAAAATGATATCATTTCAAGGCATTCGTCAAAGCGGCCAGGTGCGATTGGTTACGTTCGGTGAGCCACGGGTTGGATCTGCGAAATTCGCAAAAAACTTTGATCAATTAGTGCCGAACTCGTAAGCGAGTGAGACAAACTATCGAAAATATGACAAAAATTTAGCTATCGAGTTGTCTTTCGGGCTGATATTGTACCCCATCTACCGGCTTGTCACAAAGATTTATCGGATACTTCATTGAGTAGGCTTTTGTAAGGCTTTTGTAAAAGTTTCAATGAAAAGTTAAGCTTTAGAAATGCTTTATTTAGGGGAAAGTGATGCTCATCCGTGTGACGATTACGAAGGAACAGCTGCTTATCATCATGGAACCGAGATTTGGTGAGTATTGAGGGAATGGCTAAATGAAAGGCTTGAAATAAGTTGATTGCTAACAAAGCTTTAGTTTAAGTTGTAGAAGATAAGCAGATAAACACAAGGAAATCACAAGCCGACTGGCTAAGAGCCTTGTATCTTAGTCGAAAGGTCAAGGGTTCAATCCCGCCGGCTAGCTTCTTCGTTCTTTTCTCATCTATTTCAATATATGGGGTTTTTCCCTACATTTAGAGCTTAGAGACTATGCTTTAAGCTTGTTTTTCTCACTTTGTACCATTGTATTCGTATGAATAAATGTATTTTTCTTTAAATATTTACTTGAAAACCTTATTGTCAGGTATCCTGATTGTATGGCGCCTGGTTGTACTTACATGGAATGTACGGGTTTACCGAAAAATGAAGATATGCAATGCTCGGATCGTTTAAAGTTCAAACCATTTCCTGATATTTCCGATTACATCTCTGATCATCGCCATTATTTTGATGTTAAGGTAGGCAAGCTGATAGAAGTTTTTTTCGATTAATAAGCTAAATTAAGAAGCTAAATTATCAAGCTACTTTCAGGTAACAGAATTCGGAAAAACGGGCTGTGACGGAGTGTTCAATGCAACTGATATCAAAGAGAGTACAATTCATAAAATCGTTTCCAGCGTCAGCATGTTCTTATCGAGTCTTGGATAGTTTAAAAGTACAGAAATAAATTTATTTATATGACAAACAAGACAGAGGAAATGTTGAAAGAACTGCCAGTCACTTGTCAAGTAGTTAAGTTAGGCAGCAACCCTCACAAGTAAACGCAGGCTCAGGGTTCACAAGGGGAGCTCCATATCCACCAGCCTGACGGGTGGTGGACTTGAGCAGCAGTTAAGCTAGTTAAGTTTATCGACTTTTTGAGTTGTTGCTGTTTAAGTTGATTCAATCAAGCTCAGGCTCAAAATCCACTTTATGTACTTTATGCAAATGTAATTCTTGCAAATTGACTCCAAATTTTCAATCCCTTTTTCAAAAATTGGCATAAGAAATAGGAGAGAACGATTCCTGATCCGTGAATCTATCTCAGGTGATCGACCTGGATGGGGAAAAGGAGAGAAATGGTGGGATTGGTTCTCGAGATAACGATGAAGAGAGAAAAGAAAGAATAGAAAGAATCGAAAGAAAATCGAGGGTCATATTCTTTCTCCAAATGACCAGATCTCATCTTTTGCATACCCTTTTTGAGATGCACCTCTCCCCTCCTCCTCTTCACTCCCCGATACACATAATAAATGGCTTCCCGTTTCTTTTCTTTCATCTTTCACTTATAGAACGAGATGACCGAGAGATCCTTCAACCCCATTTTCTTCTTCCATCGCTCTCCTTCACCCCTAGATAACATTTGGATAATGTTCTTTTCCCCTAGGAAAGGATTGTCGATGACAAAAAAGTTTCCTATTTGGTCACATGATGAAAAAGAGAGTTTAGTGGTTGGTCTCAATGTAGAGAAAAAATCAAATCGAAGGCAGAGCAAGCTTTTTCTGGAGATTTCTGGAGATTCAGTTCGATCAGATCACAGTCACAGTGCCAGTGCTGGAAAAAAGTAGCTACTAGTGTCTAACTAAATGCCTGTTACAGTGACAGTCCTTTGTCTGACCTATAGTACTACTTGATTTATATATCCCTAAATTTCATTCAAAGCAATCGTGACTCTTCCTCAACACTTCTTGATTGGAATTCAAGTGGAAACAGGTTGCTAATGTCGGTGAAGCTAGTGAAATCTCCAAAGATTTGATAATGAGGAGGGGAAAGAGAAGAAAAAGACAGAAACACTTCCTTTAAAGTGGCTCATATGCAAAATGAGAGCTAGGAATGAATGTGAGGAAAAGGAAAAGCTTAACTTTACAACTAAATGATTAATATGATAATGGTGTAGAGAGGCTATCAGTTTACAGATTGATTTGTTTCTGGAGCGTTTGATTTGATTCTTGGTTTGATTCTTGGTTCTAGAATTTTCAATTCAAATATCAAAATCAAAGTTCAGTAGTTTTTGAAAGATTTTAAGTTCAGGTTATCCTATTGGAAGCTAAACAGTGAGTGGCTTTAACTTTAGATTATCGATCTTTAATTTGAAATATGAAGTTTTGACTTTAGACTATGGATTATCAAAGTTTGACTTATAATTTGCCCTAAAGAACAGTTTGTTATTGAACATATTGAGATTTTTGTCAAATGAGTAAAATCTCATGATCAAATCGGCTTGAGAACCTGATCAAACCGGCTTGACAATCTGATTAAATCGACTTGAGAATCTAATCAAATCGACTTGAGAATCTGATTAAATCGACTTGAGAATCTGATCAAACCGGCTTGACAATCTGATTAAATCGATTTGAGAATCTAATCAAATCGACTTCTTAAGTCGATTTGATCTTAGTCAATGTTGAGTTAGTGTTTTCAGTTAGTGCTGAGTTATTTACAATCCAAAAAAATCGCAACACTTACTTTCTTTCTTTTAATTTCGCAAAAGTTTAAATTTTAAATGAATGAGCATCAGTTTCATCTTAAAATCCCCTTTCAAAGATCTTTCTCTCATCTTATGCACCTATGCATAAAGATCTTGTCCTTTTCTCTAAAGGGGAAAGGCACCCTTTCCAACCTCCCACCCATTTCCCCTCCGGGCATCTTCCCATATAAAAGGATTGCCGTTTCGTGGTTGTGAGCAGGCTGTCGATCTCCTCAGAGAGACTGTCTCCTCCCTTCAAAATGGACTCGGATGGCCGCACCAAGGCCTACAAGTTTGTCGCCTACACGGCTGTCAGCTTCTCCCTCGTCGCTGTCCTCTCCGTTGTTTGCACTTTGCCCATGGTTAGTTGATTTAAGCAAAGCTACAAGTCACAAACCTACCTACCATTCAGGTGTACAACTACGTGTCCCATGTCCGTCGTCAGATGCAGCACGAGCTCTCTTTCTGCAAGGTATCCAGCATTTCTCGACTTATCCTCAATCTCTTCTAGGGATCAGCCCGTGACATCTTTGATGAAGTCAACCATATGAAGCATGCTGCTCAAGTCCATCGCAATCGTACCACCCGTCAGGCTGGTGGATATGGAGCTCCCCTTGTGAACCCTGAGCCTGCGTTTACTTGTGAGGGTTGCTGCCTTCCTGGACCCGCTGGAGCTCAAGGAGCTCCTGGACGTCCTGGAAAGGTTGGTTTTTGAGAAATTGTAGAATCTAGATGTTATTTCTATTTTAGCCTGGACGCCCTGGAGCCCCGGGATCCCCAGGAGCCCCTGGAAAACCACCACTTGCTCCATGTGATCCAACCACTCCACCACCATGCAAGCCATGCCCACAAGGTAAAAGAACATGAACTTTCTCTAAAATCATTCATAGGACCTGCTGGACCACCTGGAGCTCCTGGAGCTCCTGGAGATCCGGGAGAGGCTGGAACCCCTGGACGCCCTGGATCCGATGCTTCACCTGGACTTCCTGGACCCCGTGGACCACCCGGATCAGCTGGAGAGGCTGGAGCTCCTGGACCAGCTGGAGAACCAGGAATCCCCGCCCAAAGCGAGCCACTCACCCCTGGACAGCCCGGAGAGCCTGGAGATCAAGGTAAAGAAGTGTAAAAAGCTTGTAACTCCTGAAACTTAGGACCAACTGGACCACCTGGACCACCTGGAGGCCCTGGAATGGATGGACCGCCTGGACCTGCTGGACCAAAAGGAGCTCCTGGACCCGACGGACCCCCTGGATCCGATGGAGGAGTCGGATCCTCGGGACCACCTGGACCAGCCGGATCTGCTGGAGAGAAGGGCATCTGCCCCAAGTATTGTGCCATCGATGGAGGCATCTTCTTCGAAGACGGAACTCGTCGTTAAGGTAGGCACAGAATAGACAAAAATCTAGACTTCAAGAGAAAGATTCTATCTCATTCATTTAGAAGATCTTCTCACATAAACTTCTCACTCTCTACAGGTCGATCATCAACTCGTTTGTTGCAATTTCTCTCCAAAACATCATCTACCTCATCTGTGATTCTTTGTATAATAAAATGTATGGATTCAAGTGGAAAGAGCAAGAAAGAAAGAAGGGATTTGAAGGCTACAAAGGTCACAACAATGAAATAACACTTAAAGAAGTTGAAAATGTTTATGCAACTATAATATAATAGCAACTACAAAAACTTTACCTCAATCGCACCTGGATTATTCTGTTTAGTGTAGTAATTCAAATTTGATGTTCAAAAGTTCAAAAGTTTATTTTCATTTAATTTAATGGAGCAAGTGCTATGGTTCTTTTGAAGTAAATAAAAAGCTTTCTAGAGTTAAACGCTCTCTAGAGTTAAACGCTCTCTAGAGTTAAACGCTCTCTAGAGTTAAACGCTCTCTAGAGTTAAACGCTTTCTAGAGTTAAACGCTCTCTAGAGTTAAACGCTTTCTAGAGTTAAACGCTTTCTAGAGTTAAACGCTTTCTAGAGTTAAACGCTCTCTAGAGTTAAACGCTTTCTAGAGTTAAACGCTCTCTAGAGTTAAACGCTTTCTAGAGTTAAACGCTCTCTAGAGTTAAACGCTCTCTAGAGTTAAACGCTTTCTAGAGTTAAACGCTTTCTAGAGTTTCATTAGCGACAATAAGCAAATTTCATTCAATACTTCAAACAATTCTTACTCAAATTTGATGTTTTGCCTTTTGAGGATACAAATTGTGTGTCTTTGGCTTTTATTTTTTTTTTCCTGTCGTAACTGTAGTCAAACTATGATTCATCTTGTCATCAATGTCAGTTTTTTTTGGATTTTAATGATAGCTGTTTGATGGGCTTAGACTTAGGTTGAGTTTAGAAACAGATTTCTTAGACCTTAAGGAACAGTGATGGCTGAGTGGCAGTGGGTTAGGATACAAACATTCTCTAGTTCGAGTCTGTCGTTCTACTTTTTTCTTTTGTTTTATTTTTAATTTGCAAAGTTAATTATTTTTCGTTTTAAACAAAAGTTTATTTTAAAATCCTTCTTATGGAAAGGTTTTAACTAGAGAAGTTTAACACTCCAAAATATCGATAGCCAAGTTTGCTCTTTAATGCTTTGTTAAACCATTGAATTCTCAATGTTCCTTGCTAAAAGGCACTCATTGCTGAATGCGGGAAAAGCGAGCAGATAAACGCCAGAAAAAGTCAAAGGCATTGGTAAAGCAGAATTTGTTTAACAATTTGCTCAATCTTTTATACTTATTTCATTCACTAATATCAGTTTTTAAATCTAAACTTGATATCTTTCAGAATGCCGTATGAGTCAAAGATCGATCAACGCAAATTCTACGTGAAGAACATTCCCGAAAACTGGGATGAGGTTAGTTCAGCTAGAAAAAGCTTTTGAATTCAAAAAATTAGACTGTACAATCTTTTGGAAATCCTTTTTTCTTAAAGAATTTTCTTTAGTGGAATCTATTTGCGGCTTTCTTTCAATTCGGTCTTGTCGACGATGTGAATTTGGGATCAGCGATTCATGGAGGATTTAAATATGGGTGAGTCGATTTTGGAAATATTGGGTTGGTGAATTGAAAACTGCGGGCTGTTGTTGTTGTTGTTGTTGTTGTTGTTGGTGTATTTGTTTCATTGACTTACCAAAACGAAACCGGCTTGAGGACACGCGAAATGCGTCTGAATCCCCTCATAATAGTTCGGTCCCCACATACCGACTCGATCGCCCGGTCGAAGCCCGAGAGCGATGAGCGATGAGGCCAAGCGGTAGCTCTGACAGTGAATTCATAGCTTGCTGATAAGTTATATTGGTTGTAAGTATTGGGTTGGTGAATTGAAAACTGCGGGCCATTGTCATATGTGACAGTTTGAGCACTCTCTTCAAAAGAAACCCATTTTGGTGTCAATGGAAAAGTTGTAGAGAATCAAAACTGAAGCTTATAGCCAAGTTTTCAGAACGATTCAAAAACTGGCTTTCAAGGAATGCCAAATTTACGAATTTTCACAAAACTTGCATTTTAAGCAAAACTAATAGGTTGATGCATAAGTCTTTTCGTTTTTTTCGTACTTCTGTTAAAAAGTAACAAATTCACCAATTAATCTATAGTTTGCTCTATAAAAAAAGTGTTTTTTTGTTCAATTTGCATCTTTTTAAATGAATTTCGGTTCACTTTCAAGCAAATTCGAGAGTGAAAAACGCCTTTTTCGTAAAAATCTATAAAAAACTCTACGGAAAAATTGGCTGAATGAATTTCTCTGAAATTTTGGCGAAATATCAAACGTTTTTTTTCTCTATCTTTTATCTATTGACACGAAGATAGGTTTTCTTTAGCTAAGGTGTCTAAACCGCATCATCGAGTTAGCCCTTTTTGACTACCCGACTTCATACTCTCAAGAAAATCCAGGCATTAGATATTTTTAAACCCGTTTTAATGTTATTTTGCAGAAAAATAATTGGTTTTTCTAATGAAATCAACCGTAGTTTAATTGGTGCATTTGTTGGCTTGAAACGGCAGACGAAAAGGAACAAAAACACTTATGCATCAACCTAATACTAAGTGTATCTTTTTGGAAATTTGGCTATAGGCTATAAGGAAATTTGGCATCTCTTCAAACCAGTTTTTGAATCGTTCTGAAAATTTGGATATAAGCTTCATTTTTGATTCTCTACAACTTTTCTATTGACACCAAAATGGGTTTCTTTTGAAGAAAGTGCTCCTACTGGCTCAAACTGGGACATCTCCCGTCCTCGATTTTTGAGTCTCACACTTGTCTCACACACAAACCAAAATCCTACTACGAAAGAGGAATCCGCAAATTGCCTGTAAAATGGGCAGAAGTCGTCAATAATAATGGAAATTATTTGGAATGAATTCATGGTTTTATGTTGGATAAATTTTAGTTCAAAGTCCGGCAGTTTTCAATTCACTAACCCAATAGATAATAAATAATATTTAAACAAAATTGATGTTTTTAAATAGTTCTATTGTAAAGTTTTTAATTTAAAAGCTTTGAAATGAAAAATATCTCCAGATTTGTTGGGATGATTGAGTTCGAGGGAGCGGATAAAGTTCGAAAGGCGCTTGTCAATGGTCGACTGAATGTGAATGGAGCTTGTCTTATCGTTCGTTTATATTTTGTTCAATTTTATTGTTCAAAAGATGTTAAATGATTTTAGTTTTACTATTTGTGACTTTAGATGAAGTCACAGTACAAGAAAAACGAAGAGCAAGAGAACGAAAATGGAAAGAAAACGAAAACCACCAAAGCAAGGTCGATTTTGATTGAAAAGAGAAAAACATTTTTAAATTCAGAAGCGATTCTTCAAAGCCAAGTGTTTCATCTCATCGAATTTCCTTTAAAATCCCTTATGGAGATCTTCCAGTTGGAAATAAGGAAATTCAAATCACAATTGCTCAAACACCCGACGATTTTGTGGAAATCGCTGATCGTCTCATTTTCTTTACTCGAATGATGCATCAAGATGAGAGGTGAGCTTTTAAATTTTTATATTTTAGTGGGGGGTGGGACAAATGCGACCTTTTTTTGGCGCACCTTTTTTTGCTGGAAAAGGCCTTAGGCAAAGCCGTAGAGCTTCGAAAATATTTCCATGTAAGGGAATCGTATGCGTAGATTCCGAGTCTCGACAAATCAGACCTCGCTGACACGTCAAATTTGGACTAAAAGGCAAAAACTGTGGAAAAGCGTTAAGTTGCGTAGTTTTTGCCTTTTAGCCCAAATTTGACGTGTCAGCGAGGTCTGATTTGTCGAGATTCGGAATCTACGCATACGATTCCCTTCTATGAAAACATTTTTGAAGCTCTACGACCTTTTCTAAGGCCTTTTCCAGCAAAAAAAAAGGTGCGCAAATGTCCAGGTGCGCAAAAAAAGGTCGCATTTGTCCCACCCCCATTTTAGTGTAAAGAATAAGTAAAAACTTGATAGGAACGAGTTTTTAAGTATAGAAATCAAAAGAGGCTATAAAAAGACCATTGAACTTTCTGTAAATCAAGAGCCTGTTGATCGAACTTTGAAATCCAAGATTGAAATCCAAGATTCCAAGCAAACAACAGATCATCAAACTCTTCAGATATGAAGCTATGCAAAAGAAGTTAAATGTTTATGTAATGTCTTGTCCTTCGGATGGAGCTTTGGCTGAAGAAGGAGACTCGGTGATCGTTCTTTATCAAGAAAACGCCGTTCGTGGCCGAGTGATTGCAAAGGGAGATGAGGCACGAGTATATTTAGTGGATCTTGGATTTGAGGTTTGAATAAAAGAATTTATGTGATTAAACAAATCACTATTATATTTTCTAGGTTTCAAGGAAAAACCTCTGGCTGATCAAGGACAACGCAGCTCACGCGGCTCTCGGTTTCCATCTACCACAACAAGTATGAGCCGAAAAACTGCTTCAAATTACACTTATCTCTTTCTTCCTTTCTCTCTTGTATCTCCTTTTTCTTCTCTGAAAGCAAGATACTGGATAGCTCAGTGGTTAAAGCATCTGCCCGAGCAAATGAGCAAAGCAAATGTTTGAGGGAAGGTCAAGGGTTCAATCGCCTCTCCAAAAATCTTTCTTTACCATTCCTTATTTTATTTTATTATAGGTAATCGAATGTGAGCTGATCGGTGTCAAGTTCAGCTCAAAAAATGACTTGGAAACGGCTCGATTGATGCTTAAAAAGTTCATGACATCGAATTCAAAGCTAGAGCTTCGGGCGATTCATCGAGAGTTCCGCGGATCGACAAATCTCATTCAAATGATCGTCGAATACAGTTAACCAAAACTTTAATGGATTATTATAGAAAAATTTTAGATGATAACATTCACGAGATCCAGGATTTCGCAGGAGTGCTTGCTGAAAGAGGCTTGTGTGTCTATGAACAACCACAAGAAGTCTTTCGCTACACAAAAGAGGAGCTCATAGCATTGCGAGAGGCTATGGGCCCAATTGAAAATGTAGATTTTAATCAGAAACATAAATCTAATAGAAATACAATCAATTATCAATAGAAATACATTCAATTATCAATCTTCCGCTTTTAGGAGCCACTCGAAGAGATTTTCCAAGGCGCCATGGTGAAGCTGATAGTTAAATAATTCCTTAAAACTTGAAATTTCTCAATGACCGGATTTCTCAATCTCAATTTCTCAATGTTCTTTACTATCCGGTTTTTAAAATCCCTTTATTTTGATGTTTTTAATGATTTCTTTTGTATGTTATAAATTCTTTGTATTAAAAAAAAGTTGTAATGAGCTGACACTTAAGAATTAGCACAATCACAGGATTCACAGATTTGACTTAATTGCAATAGAGATCAAGGTGTGAGGGGTTTTTGTGTGTGTGCTTTATGTGTGCATCAGTTGTGCGCAATTCGCGAAGGGTGGCTAACTTTCTGTTTAAACAGTTAGCAAAGAGCAATGAAGGAAAAGGGAAAAGAAGACTTGAGTCTTTTCCCTTTTCTTTGATCATCGAAGAGCTTCTTCGTTTGAGTTCATCTCTTTTAGTTCCACTTCAGCTAGGCTTCAGTTCAGTACTTCTCTTCCTATGTAGCCTTTTCTTTTCTCTTTTTATTTGACCTTTTCACAAAACGTACTCAAATGGTGCCAGATCAATAGATCAATTATCAAATCTGGCTCTAGTTTGTATCAAACTCCTATGTGAAGGTTGGAAAAAGGTTAAAGATACTGTAGCTGAAGGCAAGCATAAAGCAAGCATAGATCTGATACAGGCTTGATAGCTGGACGGATAAGTACAGACCTAAACAGTGGTGTAACAGCTTCTAGATCAGATCAATCAATCTACTAAACAATCTTTAAGGAAAATGTAAATTTGGTACTAACGGATCTCTAACTTTTAAATCAACTAAGCGACTTGTGCCTTTTCCCTTTTCTTTCATCACCAAAGAGCTCCTTTTTCTTGAGTTCATCTTTCAGTTCCACTCCTCACCCTTGGTCGGGTTCAGTTCTCCTCTTTTTGCAGTCCTTTCCTCGAAACGGGCCACAGCTCATGCTTTCACTCTTTTCTCAATCTTTTCATCTCGCAGCATAGCCAAGAGTTTTGTGTGCCACCGAGAGTTTAAAGTCACTCCCAGCCCACTGTTCTCTTTTTCTCTTTGCAGCTAGAGGGGAACAAGATCACAATTGATAATCGAAGCGCTTTGTGTTTTGCTAGATCTACACTTTTTTGATCGTCGTTCAGAGATCGAGAGATGAAGAGAGGGATCAATTGGGTATTGATTAACAACAACAATCAGCGTTCATTCTTTTTCCATCTTTATTATCTTTTTAGCTTTATTTGGTTTGTTTTAAACTAATTTTAAAACTCAAAATGATTGAAGAAACAAAAGATTTCTCATAATTGTAAGCAAAATCTATAGAAATTTTTAGAGTAAAGCGTTCTAAATAACATTAACAGCCTAACTATTTATAGAGTCAATTGTAAGAAGCTTTATATGCTAATTGGCTTGCAATATCTCTGTTTAAAGCATTAAATAATTGAAAATTCTTTATTTTCATAGCTAAACACCAGAAAAACGCATTAAAGTAAGCTTTATGAACTTGAATTGAAGCTATCATTCAATTCTATTCCCAACTTTTACATCATCTCCTTCTTAGCCAAAGAAACAAACAAATTCTGTACAAAATCATTTGCAAGAAAAAGCCTTTTCCTCTAAACTAAGCGTTATTACAAAAAGATATCGTTTTTCTTCGAAGCTAACGGCAATCGAGACTCGAGAAGAGACAGACACTGGACAGACAGAGAAATCGCTTTTCCCAAAACTTTCTCATCTCTGCCCTTTCATTTTCTCTCTCCTTCACAAAATCTCTTTGCAATCTCTTTGTGAACATTGATCTTTCGTTTTCCGTCACTTTTCCACTCACAAATTCTATAGAAAAAACGTTCTTTGAAGTCATTTTTGCGAATCGATGCAATATTTGTATCATAAGAATGTCTGGAAAGCTAGGGCTTCCAAGCTAGGGCTTCCAAGCTAGGGCTTCCAAGCTAGGGCTTCCAAGCTAGGGCTTCCAAGCTAGGGCTTTCAAGCTAGGGCTTTCAAGCTAGGGCTTTCAAGCTAGGGCTTTCAAGCTAGGGCTTTCAAGCTAGGGCTTTCAAGCTAGGGCTTTCAAGCTAGGGCTTTCAAGCTAGGGCTTTCAAGCTAGGGCTTTCAAGCTAGGGCTTTCAATCATTTCTAAAAGTTATTGTTTTTGAATGTTAAACTCCTTTCTAAGACAGTTCAATGTCTGATATTTTGCTGTTTTCAAGATCAAGTTTCTACTGTTGATTAGCTTGAATTGGGTTTACTGAATATTTATAACCATCCTGTCGTTTAAATCTGTATTCTGATTGCTGTATTCTCAATGAAAAACTGAAATTCTTATGTTTATTCTTCGTTTCCAAAGGTTCTATCTCCTTTAAAACTCCATTATTGAACACTAGTGAGTTTTTTTGTCGGCCAAAATTTGCCGAAATTCTTTTCAAATTCGTCTGCCTTAAGGCGCCAAAGAAAAGAGCCGATGACGCACATTTTTTTCGCTTGTCGCCTTTTCTGCACTTCTCAAAAAAAAAGGAAAAAGAGAAAAAGAGAAAAAGAGAAAATGAGAAAATGAGAGAAAAAGGAAGTTTTTCCTCTCTTCTATTTCTTTTTTTTGTTAGAGAGGGCCGGGGAGGAGTGCCTAGCAGCCTTTTTGCCTGGCCTCTCCCGTCTCCTCTTTCCCATTGCCCCAACCCCCCTTTCCATCCAGCAACCACTCGATAGGACCGAGCTTTCCTCCACCCATTTTTTTTTCTTCTTCTTTTGCTTTTCTTTTCACTTTATATTCTTTATCTTCTTTATCTTCTTTATCTTTCTTTTTAAAGATCAGAATTGATTGAAACAATTTCAAATTTCCCTCAAATTTAAATCGTGCCATTTTTTAGTTTTAATCAAATCCGAAAAGGGTAAAGGATTTGTTTTTTTCTATAAAATTTTCGTTATTTCATTTGATTTTAAAAGTTTTTAATTAGGCAGACTGTAGTTTGTAGTTGTTTTTGTTTAAAACAAGTTTTTGACTTCAAACTAACAGAGAGCTTGCAGAAATTTTCAAAGATCAAACGGAGATTCTCTCAAGAAGATATCTTTTCAGCTTTTTTATTGATTTTAATCTCTCGTCCTTCATTTTTTCATCTTTCATCTTTTTTTTCCGATTTCCCATTGAACTGACCGGAAGTGGGATTGGATTTATTTTTGACCGAAACCCCCATCTTTCCACGTCTCTAACAGGGCAAAAAGGTCACTCGGCACTTAGTAAATCGATCAGATTGAGTAGAAAAACACGCTGACATTTTATTTTATTGACATTTTAGCCTCACTTCTCTTTTAGAAACGAATTAAACCCCCGTTTTTTTTATGCCCACATAGCCCAAAAGCCCACTAAATCTAGCAGATAAAAAAACAAACAAATCAAGTTTGTAAGGAAATGAAATCGAGTGAAATCGAGTGAAATCGAGTGAACTTGTAAGGATTACAAAGCTTTATTTATGCTTAAATTTCTAAAGTTTAAAATTACCAAGTCTTTGTAGCCCTTATCAACAACAATTTTATTACAAAATTTTCTATTATATTAACTATTTTCATTACAAAATTTTCCATTAGAAAATTCCCATTACAAAGATTTCTCATTACATCAGCTATTCACATGTTCTTTCAATGCTTTTCACGGGTTTTAATCAACAAGATTTTTAAAAAAAAACACTACTAATCATAAACAAAAGTTTGAGATTTATTTGAGAGAAAGTTTTTGTTGAGATTTGGTGGAGGGAACTGGTGAAAAGGGGAAAAACGTACTTTGGCGCTGACAACGCGGCGAGTTTGGCGGTCAAAATTCGATCGGCGCTGCCTCTTTTTCCAAATCCAAATTTCCAAGTTCCCTCAAAGTCCAAAACCCTTTTAGAACTCAAAAATTCAAATCTATAAACAGAAAAAAAGAAAACTTTTTATAGAAATCTCATTCACACGAGACTTTTCTCTATAAATTGTCCATCATTTTTAGAAATTCTCAAGAAATTTAGTTTATTTATGTTTTCACTAATCGATAAGTTACCAATTTTTAACCAATTTTAACTTTTTCTTTAAAAAAACTCATCATTATGAGGGGTTTTCTTTAAATTCTTTAAATTAATCTCTTTAAATTAATCTCTTTAAATTAATCTCTTTAAATTAATCTCTTTAAATTGATCTCTTTAAATTAATCTCTTTAAATTGATCTCTTTAAATTAATCTCTTTAAATTGATCTCTTTAAATTAATCTCTTTAAATTAATCTCTTTAAATTAATCTCTTTAAATTAATTCTTTAAATTAATCTCTTTAAATTAATCTCTTTAAATTAATCTCTTTAAATTAATCTCTTTAAATTAATCTCTTTAAATTGATCTCTTTAAATTGATCTCTTTAAATTGATCTCTTTAAATTGATCTCTTTAAATTGATCTCTTTAAATTAATTCTTTAAATTAATCTCTTTAAATTAATCTCTTTAAATTAATCTCTTTAAATTAATCTCTAGATTTTATAAATTGACAATCAAAATTAAGACAATTAAATTATAAATCAAAGAAAATGACAATATTGCTTATCAATATTGTTTTATGAGTAAGAACTCATTAAAGATCGATAACATTTCCCCTGTCTCATTGTTTTCATAGTCTAAACATTTTCACCAATTCTACAGCTTACAAAGATGAGTCACTTTTTCAATGATTTCCTGTTTTTAAGTTATTTAACTAAATATAAGGCTTCATACTTTGAATTCTTACAATTGAAGACTCAAAACCGGCTGACCATTAAAATTTAAGAATTAATACCGGCTGACCATTACAATTTAACACTTAAAACTGGCTGACCATTACAATTGAAGACTTAAAACCGGCTGACCATTACAATTGAAGACTTAAAACCGGCTGACCATTACAATTTAACACTTACAACTGGCTGGCCATTACAATTTAACACTTAAAACCGGCTGACCATTACAATTGAAGACTCAAAACCGGCTGACCATTAAAATTTAAGAATTAATACCGGCTGACCATTACAATTTAAGACTCAAAACTGGCTGACCGTTACAATCATTCTTGTAGTTTTTGCCTATCATTTGTTTATGGCCTAAATGTGTAGCAAAGAAAAAAAACGGGAATTTGCAAAAAAAAGAACCGATCGCTAAATCTCTCATTATCAATAAGTTGCCGTTTTTTTTTTCGCTCGTTTATTCCTTTTCACTGAAACTTTTTATCAGTATTAGACTTGGGGAAATCAATATCGAATAGTTCTTTTAACGGCAAATGATTACTAGAGAACTTTGTCAAATTTCACTTTCATTTCAAAGATTGCTTCGATTTTTTTTGAAGGAAAATCAAACAAAAACTCGATCGGAATACCGAATTTCATAAAATTTCAGAGATTTCAAAGAGTCTGAACATAGCAAAGAGCTCAGCATTCCATATTTCATCAATTTCCCATTCTTTCAGATTCTCCGACTCCTCTTAAACAAATTTCCGTTCCAACAAAGTGTTATTCTTCATTTTTAACTTCCTTCATCTTTTTTCAAAGAACTTTTGCTTAAAGAGAACAGCTGTCTTTCTTTTGAACTGAAAGAAATCTCAAAAATCTTCTCTTGAATCTGTTTTTTTTTGAGTGACGCCACGATTCATTTCTTTCATTTCTTTCCATTCATTTCTTTCTTCACACAACGGATTGATTGAGCTTTCAAAGAAAATAAAGAGATTCTTTTCAAATAACGAAAACAACCCTAAAGCTGAGTCGTTGAAAGAACAGTTGTAGATGGGTTGATGGAAAGAAAGCTTTTAGTGAATTAGAATTGAGATGCTAACAGATTTCTAAGATTAAAAAAGCTTTAGTGAAGTCAAATTTGTTGTAAGAGTTGAAATTTTCATTAAACTTTTCATTAAATCAGCTTTGAGGATTTATTCATGTTGATAATCCTTTTAGAATGTTCATGTCATTATTCATTTTCATTCCAAAGGTCAATCAGCTTTGAGAATTGAATGATTGATCTTTGAAGTGCTTTAAAATCTTATGATTGATCTTTGAAGTAATAGCATCAACAATTAATGTTGATGTTATTACCTCAAAGATCAATCATAAGATTTTAAAGCATGACGATATTGCAGCGCTTTGAAAAAGGCAAAAAAGCAATTGTTCTTTGAGTTAAATGTAATCCAAGACTCCTTTTTCTTCAGTTTTTCCCTCATTTTTTCGCTTTTCAGTGTATTTTCAGCCATTCCAACACATTGAACGAACAAAAATTTTGAGCTTTTTGATTCGGATTTCAATATTGAATCATTTTAACATTTTAAATCTAATCAAATCCTGAAGAATTTTATCTTTTAACAATCAAATTTAGATAATTAGATTTAAAATCAACTTACCGTAAACATTGTAATAGTACCCAACCCCCCAAGTACAGTCGCGTAGTCGCGTAGTCGCGTAGTCGCGTAGTCGCGTAGTCGCGTAGTCGCGTAGTCGCGTAGTCGCGTAGTCGCGTAGTCGCGTAGTCGCGTAGTCGCGTAGTCGCGTAGTCGCGTAGTCGCGTAGTCGCGTAGTCGCGTAGTCGTAGTTTTTTAGTATTTCATTATTTTCAAAGCGCCCGTACTTTCAAAAAATCCTTTTTTGGTCTCAAAAAATAGCTGAAATTCAGCGCTATTTTTTGATACCTATTGTAGCATTGTAGCATAAACCAGTGTCGAGAAAAACTCGTTCAAAGCTAGCCTACGCAACACTCCGCTCCGTCAGTGCGGGTGGGGTACTATTACAGTATTTACGGTAAGTAATCAATTGTTTAACACAAAGAAGAGTTAATCCCTTTCTATAAAGCATTTCCTTTGTATAACCTACATATCGAGGAGTGTTTGAGAGATTTGTGGAAGCATTCGTGCGTTTAACGCTCCTCTTTCCCTACTATTACAGAATTTACGGTATCAGCTTTCAAAAAGCTTCCAAAACTCTAATTACAATCCATTTTCACATCAATAATTTATAGATTTCTTTTCGAACTTCAAAAAAATTCCACGCTTTTCATATTCCTTTTTCTTTTTCCTCTGTTTTTCCATTGATTCTCTTTAACCGTTTATTTGGCGTCATTGCCCCTTTTCTCTTTTCCTTTCTCCGATTATTTCCCAAATTCGTTCTCTGATTTTTCGCCTCCATTCTTCTTATAAACACAATTATACACAAAAAAAAAGGAAAAAAATTACTTAAAATCTTTGAAAAAGATCAATTTTTTCAAAGATTCTTTGACAAACCATGATGAAACGTTGTTTATGTGTTCAAAAAAAGACTCTCAAGTGTTCCATGATGCAAAGAAGTTTTGCTGACATCAATGCTTATCTCGCAAAAATCTATTAAAGTCATCAATTGAAATTGGATAAACTTAAATAGAATTTTTTTGATAAATAGAATTTTAGTTTCAAATAAACGCTTTCTAATCTGATTCAAGAATTTTATCTCTTGTTCAATCTGTTTCTTAAAAATTTTAGTTTAAAATATCCTTTTCTAAACTGTTTTTGAAGAATTTTAGTTTAAAATATCCTTTTCTAAGCTTTTTCTTAAGAATTTCATCTCTTTCTCAATCTGTTTCTTAAGAATCTTAGTTTAAAATATCCTTTTCTAACCCTTTTCTTAAAAGTTTTAGCTTAAAATATCCTTTTCTAAACTGTTTCTTAAGAATTTCATCTCTTTTTCAATCTGTTTCTTAAAATTTTTAGTTTAAAATAGTTTAAAATATCCTTTTCTAACCCTTTTCTTAAGAATTTTAGTTTAAAATATCCTTTTCTAAACTGTTTCTTAAGAATTCCATCTCTTTTTCAATCTGTTTCTTAAGAATTTTCATTTAAAATATCCCTTTTCCAATTTGATTCATAAAATTTTCTAAAGAAAACCGGCGTCCAAGAATTTCCATGGCAATGCGCATTAGCACTTGCTTCTTTCCTGGGAATCATTTCATTTTTCGTGTTCATTCCAATATTTTTATTTTGAATTTCCTTTCAAATTGATATTTTGTTGTTGGTTTATGCAGTCCTCGATTTTTGAGTCTCACACTTCGCTCTAAAATAAACAGCCTTGTTTTCCAGAATTACCCAATTCTTGGGTCTTCATCGCTTGAATTTCGACAATTTGATGGATGATTTGTGCACCCTCGATCTCGGTGATGTCGATTGGGCGAAAACGGTTTTGGGCGAAGATCCGCTAGACACTTTGCAAGCATATTACAATTGGAATGACAACGATCAAAATGATGAAAGTGATTCAAATAAAGGTTTGTCAAGTAGAAAAAAGAAAATTGGCAAATTTTTCACATTTTCTTAGCTAACATGCTGCTTTGGCAACTTTCAAAATCCATTATTTTTCAGATTCACCATTTCTTTCCGATGATTGTTCTCTGTTATTGCACGAAATCGCGAAAGACACCGAAATCGACAAAGAGCTTGGTTTGAGAACGTTATGCATTTTATAGCAAATAGAAACTTTTAGGTCTTTGTCTTAAAGAGCCGAGTCCATCTCATTTAGATGATGGAGATGATTGGACGGTGAAAATTGGTGAGTGCCTTGAGAAGCGTTTGATTTGATTTGATTGATTGATTGATTGATCATTTGAATGATCATTATCTTCATCATGATCTCTAAAAGAAGTCATAAAGCAAAAGAAATCAAAACTCCACAAATCAAATCTCCAAAAATCAAACCTCCAAAAATCAAATCAAAAGCTAGTTCCAGAAACGAGCTCATTCGATTGGGGTTTGGACTCAGCCGGGCATTCATCACTCAATTCTCCATCGGGTCTAGATGAGATGTTCCCGAATACTTCAAATGCTAACTCTTTTGCTAGTAAGTGTAATTTGATTCTAAAATTTCCATATTTTCTTTTATCAACTCTTTTCCAGGCAGTCCCTCAATGTCGGAGTCGAATTTCTCATTTGGTGATGTGCTTTCAGATAACAGTTTTGTCGATCAATCAACCAGCACAAATTCCGACTACTACAATCGGCAACCAGTTCAGGTTTATCGAAGTAAAATTTGCCATTTATTGTTTGAAAATTCTAGCGGCCAATTTTGCAAACGGAAAAGCGCCCGGTTAGACTGGAGACATCGGCCACAGCGAGCACGAATATGTTGACAAGGAGCAAGAAGAGGCCACCGGTTAGTACATTAGTATGACAAAAGAATACGTTGTACTTCTGTCTATGAGCTCTATAGCTCTATGAGCTCTATGACCTCTATAACTCTATGAGCTCTACTAGTTTGCGTATCCTTTACGCTGAATATAATTACTTATCCAAAACACAAGTTAGACGGTGACTTACAAAACAACAAATAAATAATATTTGCGAACTTGATCTTCGCTTTCCATAAATTTAATTCATATCTATCCCATACTTAAAATATAAAAATAAAACAAATTTAAATGTTAAAATATTAAAAGAAAAAGAAAAACAAAGAATGGAATTGAACCAAAGCAAAAAAAATGAAGAAATCGTTTCGTAGACAAGCCTGGAGACAAGACAAGACAAGACAAGCTTCTACCTACTGAGCCGCCAGTCCATTTGGGAATCCCATTTCGGAAAATCCCATTTTTTTGGCTACAAATTTAAAATCTTTGTAACTTTTGATAGAGTCATTTTGTCAAAACGGAAAACAGATTCCGAATCAGCGTGAAATTCTGAATCTTATCGAATGACTTATCGACTTTATCGAATGGTCGACTCGAAAAGCTTACCTTAATTTGGTGAACTTCTCTTGTTATTCACCTTGATGGGTGCTTCACTTGTTATTTGAGAAATTCTAATGAGAATCCGATAAAGTCTGATTAAATTCTAGCAAATTCTAGCAATTCTAGCAATTCTAGCAAGTAATTCTAGCAATAATTTGGACAAATTCTCCCTAAAGACAATGGAATGCGACCTTAAATAGACTTGAGCTACAGTATGCTCCTATTCTGTCGGACTTTTGTCGAACTTTTGTCGGAGTTGCTTAACTTGTACTTAAATCGGCTTTCTTGTGAAAAGTGTCGAAAGATTCAGTCCAATTAGTAAGAAAATGATCTTTAATGTTTAGCTTAGTTATTAACAGCTTATTCAATTCATTTCCAGGTCAGTACCCGAACAGCTTTGATGACTCCAAAGCAACAAACGAAACCGGCGGGTACGAGACGAAGGGGAAGACCAGAGAAAGATCCCCGTCTTCCACTGCACCAACGCATCGCTCCACAACCACAACAAGGAGCAATTGAGCCGTCAACCATTTCCCTCTACACAGATAACACCGGTAGGAACTTGGATCTCTCGAAAGTTACAGATTTTTAGAGCCCATCAATCGAACGACTGCCTCCACTTTCCCCATTCGTCATCCTGAAACGAAAACGGAAAATAAAGGACCAATGTTAGCAACTCAGGAGATGATTCAGCAAAGTTAGCTCAATGTTTTATAGTATTCAAAATCGTTTTCAGTCTCAACTTGTCGATGTGAAGAGTTGGCTTCAAGAGCAAAAAATCCCACGTTAAAGAAGGGACAGGTGAGGAAAAAAGATTCCAAAGATTCCGAATCAGCTTGAAATTCTGAATCTTATCGAATCTTATCGGAAAGACATTTTTCTTGAAGAAAAGAAAGAAACAATTTATTTTAAAGAAACCTAAATAGATGTTAAATATATAGGAATTAGATCTGAGAATTTTCCGTGTAAATGCCAATAAATATCTAACAAAAAAAGTCATATTATCGCCAATTTCCCCTCCGATTTTGATATCAAATGACGCAGAATTTTATTCTCTATTGATTGAAATCAAAGACAAAAAGATTAAAGGGAAATTGGGAAAGATCTAGCATATTTTCACACCACGTTTACACCGAGAATTCCCAGATCTAATAGAAATAGAAGTCAAAATGAAAGTAGAAATGAAATCCTTTTTAAAATCTTATCTTTCAGTTGATGAGAACAACTGGTTCAGTAATGCCACAGTGTGGCGTTCATCGAGCGAACACTTTCCAATCGACAGCCTCAACCGCTGCAGCTGCATTGATGCGGAAACCGATTTTGAGTAGATTTTTGAATAGATATCAAGAATAGCATAGAATAGATAAAGAATAGGTATCAAGAATTGATCTAAATTTTCCAAAATCTGTCTTTTTTCAGTGCGAAAACGTCTCCGCGAGTGCACGATGGTCTGCTGGTTGTTCCGCACTTTGCTCACCGCCGAGTACCGAGCGCTGCCATTGAACGGGATCTTTGAGGTCTTCGAAGATACGGTAATATAGATAAAGAAATTGAAATTGAATTAGAATTACATGCTTATTTTCAGTTCACCAACCCGACTACAGCTCATGGAAGGCATTGGCGACAATCGATTCGACACTGTCTCATGTCGAGCGCTGTTTTTGTCCGGGTGCTCACACCAAATGTAAGTACAATCCGAAATTTGGCAAAGATCTCGCGGTAGGCAATGGCCGAGTGGTTAGCGGCCTCACACCAAGTTTCAGAGGTGGAGAATTCGAATCTTCTTCCTGTCAAACGTTTTGCTTTTTTACCAAAAGCTCAAATGTAATAGAAATAAACTTTTTAAGCTTTTGACTCAAGTCTTTTAAGCCTTTGAGCCAAGTCTTTTAAGCCTTTGATCCAAGTCTTTTAAGCCTTTGATCCAAGTCTTTTAAGCCTTTTACTCAAGCGCGCAGAAACAAATGTACTGTTGATGAGATATGAGCGTTTGTTTGAGAGTAAACTTATACTCTCCTATAGGGGACTCTTCTATTAGAATACGAGTTAACAAAACGTATAACTAAACCCTGGATTTTAGCCAAGAAAGGATTTCCTTGTGATGAATGAAGCCGGCTCTTGGTGGACAGTTCATCCGGATACGGAAGCTCTTTGCGCGCGTGAGGTTTTCGCTCTTGGAGCCGGACATCGATGCCCTCCGCAACAGGGTGTTCCGTATAGGTTCGAGAATTTATAGAAACGAAAACTAATCAAGATTTAGACTCAGATTTGGTCGAACTGATGATCGACAACAATTCGAGCGAAGAGGCACCGCGTTTCTGGGCGAGCGCATCTATCGAACACCGCCTCCATTGGCACAAAGGAGGTAAGTGTTTATCGGGATTTCGTGGAGCCAATCAATTCCAATCAATTGTCAAATTCCAGGATTTCTCAACACACTCAACACCAACGGCAATACATGCAACAATTCCGGAACTACACAAATCTGCAGGCGTTGCGCTTTGGAGTGAAAAGTGGGATGGCTGCTCCACCGCGAGGAGATCAATTGGTTGTTGATCACGAGGAAGAAGTGTGCTAATTGATTTGATTTCGAGAAAAGATTTGGTATTTCTATTTTGGATGAGCTAACAAACTGGTTTTAAACTTTTAAACTTTCAAAAACCAAATCTTTTCTTCTGAAAGATTTTCAAGTAATTTCTAGTCGCTAGTTAGGCTCTAGGTCTCATGTTTCTTTTCTTTTTTTAACTAATTTGTTTTATTTCTTTTCTTTTCTCAAATCTCTCAGGATTTCTCTCATCACACATGACTGAATATCTCAAATTTTTTATAATTTATTTTAGGCCTAGTATTTCTAGATGACAGGTGTATGCAAAATGAAATTTAGCTTGAGATTTCCCCCAATTGACACTCATTTATCGCGTGTCTTTCAACCGGTAGTGCCTTTTAGATTTGTGTAATTGACAGTGAGGGTTACGGTAGGTTGGGGCAGCTTTTAGAATCAAACTATAAGAGATCATGGATTGGATTTGTTTCTAAAATACAGTTAACTTACGGACTTATACCGACAGCTGGTAGTTGGTCGTTGATTTTAGAAAGTAAACGGCTTGAATCAAGTTTTAAGCTGCCGTATTCTACGATTAAGCTACCGTATTCTAGAATTAAGCTACCGTGGTCTAGAATTAAGCTACCGTATTCTACGCATTCTACTATATTTCCAATGGTTTACCGTAGCCAACTAGGTTTACCATAGCCAGCTCGGTTCACCATAGCCAACTAGGTTTACCGTAGCCAGCTAGGTTTACGGTAGCCAGCTAGGTTTACCGTAGCCAGCTAGGTTTACGGTAGCCAGCTAGGTTTACCGTAGCCAGCTAGGTTTACTGTAGCCAGTTAGGTTTACCGTAGCCAGCTAGGTTTACCGTAGCCAGCTAGGTTTACGGTAGCCAGCTAGGTTTACATTTAGTAAGCAATCCAGTAAACAAAACAATAGCTTACCGTATTCTAGTGTGACTGGATTACGGTAACCAGACAATTAGCTGTTTTAAGAGCATTTTAAAGAAGAATTAAGCTGCCTAAAGCATTCCCATAGCTCAAGCTTCCTAAAATACATTACTCCACGAAAAAAAACTCACTGTTCAATGCACCACAAAAAAAGATTACGGTAGTTTTTAGTGCTTTTGCGAATTTCATTTCGATTTTCCTTTTTTATTTCAGTATTCTCTCAGAAAATATAAGTAAAAATGGAGTCTAATAAACAAAAAAACGTAGCCAGCTAGGCCAGGCTTACCGTAGCCAGCTAGGTTTACCGTAGCCAGCTAGGCTAGGTTTACCGTAGCCAGCTAGGTTTACCGTAGCCAGCTAGGCTAGGTTTACCATAGCCAGCTAGGCTAGGTTTGCCGTAGCCATTTTTATTTGTCCCCAAAAAATTCTTCTGCGTGTACTTAGAATTTTTGCTTTTCTTTCGATTTTTAGCTTCAGATTTGTGTTTGTTTTTTCTGATCATTGAGATTTTGCTACAATTTCTCCAGCTCTCCAGCACTGCTATATGTTAAGCTCAAAAATAATCGAAAACAGCAGCTTTTTCTTTTCTTTTTAATCAAAAAAATTTAGTACAATTAGAGGCCTTGAAGAGATTTTTAGTTGAAAAAAAAAATCTATTGCAATTGTTTGTTTTTTTCTTCTCGATTTTCGATGGCGCGTGATTACGGTTGAGTTGAATAAAATTGGAAAATCAATGAATTGAAAACAAAAGACAATTGTGTTTTGTCAATTGTCAATCAATGACAATTGTGTTCAAGACACAAGACAATTCAAAACACAAGACAAGACACAGACAACAAAACACAAGACACAAGACAGTTAAAAGCAATTGCAGAAAGATATCAGAAAACTTATAGCAGTTAACTGCGATTTATTGCTGAAGGAAGGGATTTTGAGAATCTTTTCCAGATCGGATTAGGTAAAAAGTGCTAGTTCAGCTCTAGTATTGTATCAAGAAAGAAATAGCCTTCCTAGGTTTGTTCTTCCTAATATTTAGCACACATCGTTGCGATTTACAATCAAGATTACAAATTTGCATTCAAAATTAATTCCAAAGTAAGTAAACGATTCGGGAAAAGTGCGATTTTCGTTTAATTGTTGTTTGAAATACGATTTTCTCCCACAATCTTGTTATTTTCTCTAATAGTAGTAATCGTTTATTTTCTCTAATAGTAGTGCACGATACCGAGCCGAGTTAATGTCTATTTTACAGTTTCCAATTTTTCCCAGAAGCTCAACACTCAGATCCCCCACAAGATCTCATCGTCAGCTACATTTCCCGACCCCACATCGATAGGTTCTGATAAGTGGTTCTCGAGATTCCGAGGAATTTAGACGAAGCTTAGGGTGCACTACTATTAGAGAGAAGACGGTATATTATTCCAGGTTAGGCTAGTAGATCAGACTGATATATTTCCCTAATATTTCCCGGTGAGCCGAGTTGATGCCTATTTTACGGTTTCCAATTTTTCCCAGAAGCTCAACACTCAGATCCCCCACGAGATCTCATCGTCAGCTACATTTCCCGACCCCACATCGATAGGTTCTGGTGAGTGGTTCTCGAGATTTCGAGGAATTTAGCCTATTACTAGATAAAAGAGACAGTATTTGATACAAGATCTTGTAGTCCTTGCAAAAGCTTCAAAACTAACAAAAAAAACTGCTATTTATCGTTGTTTTGCAAGAAAACTTTTCAAAGCTTATAATCAGAAAGTCAAAATTCAATGCTTTTTTTAAGAATTACAATTGTGAGAGCTCTAAAAATAATTGTCTATACTTTGAAGACATCAAGCATGAATTTATCTCTTAAAGATAGCTTTTTTTACTTTACATTTCCCGTTTTCTCATTGAGGAAAGGGAAATACAGGTAATTTTCTTAAAACTCTCAATTTTTTCTTGATAATTGAGGGATTCAAAGTTGTACCAGTTGCTAAATTTTTCTTTCAAAAGGCTTCAAAAGAACGAAATTTCGTTTCTAATTTGTTCTGACACGACGATAGATCTCTAATTGTTATCGTAATTGTTGATCTCTGTTTTAAATTTTGAAGTTTTTATCCTTTTTGACTTTTGTTCTTGTTTTTCAGCACTTTAGAGATCATGATGGTTAATTGTTTTCAAGTATGATTCTCATTTGATTTTTTCAATTCAATTTTCTTTCTTTTTTTTTTGCAATTCGGTGGATAATAAGGAATTTCTTTTTACTGTTTTACGACTCATAACTCTTCTCGTAACCGATAATAGGACTATTTGCAAAATGGTTTTTAAATTAGAGATCAAAGCGCAACTTTTGCAGACAACTTTTGCAGCCAACTGTTGCAGCCAACTGTTGCAGCCAACTTTTGCAGCCAACTGTTGCAGCCAACTTTTACAGCCAACTGTTGCAGCCAACTTTTGCAGCCAACTTTTGCAGCCAACTGTTGCAGTCAACTGTTGCAGACAAGCTTTGCAGACAAGCTTTACCGCCAACTTTTACAGCCAACTTTTGCAGCCAACTTTTGCAGACAAGCTTTACAGACAAGCTTTACCCCCAACTTTTACAGCCAACTTTTTCAAACAAGTTCTGCAAGTTCTGCAAATTTGCAAACAGTATCCTAACAAGATTAGGCTTTTAAAGCTCTTTTTAAGTTCTGTTTAAGTTTTAAGTTTAACTTTTTAAGCTTTAAGTATTAAGTTAAGTACTTAAAGCTTTAAGTAGCTTTAAGTTAATTTCTAAATTCACATCATAAAATTCAGTTTCACAAAGTGTTCTCAAAAGAAAAAAGCTCATAAAAAAAAGCGATTCATTTGTTGATTTAGGGATCTCTTGATGAGTTCTCCTCATTTCATTCAGAATTTTCTCTTGGAATCTTTCCTTTCCCGAAATTAGGTTTGTTACTTAGTTTTTCGGCCACCGGAAAAGATAATGAAGCATCGGAAAAAGACTTCTTTTAACTTCAAAAGAAAAAAAACTCCTTTAAGCTTTCACTTTCTCGTATTTCTCTAATTATCAGATTTCAGTTTTCCCTATTTTTCCCCGTTAGTCGGATGACTGATTGATGGCCAATTTTTTCGAGTTTTTTTTTGCTCTCTTATAGTTTTACAAAATTCCGATTGGTTTTCGGCTTTTGAGAACTTCAGAGCCCACTCTTTTACTTAATAAGCAACCTTTGATTTCACTTTTTTTCGATTTTAAACTTTTCTTTTCCGAAATAATGAGAAGACCTTGGAGAAAACGGAAATTGGTCTCTAAAATTGGTCAAATGATTAACTCTGTGATGTCAATCAAGCATTGATTTCATTGTGTACATTGTGCTCGTAAATGGAAACGCACCCTTTCCGGGATAAAAGACTTTCACTAGACCTTTTACTTTACCTTTACTTTACTTTACCTTTACTTTACCTTTACTTGACTTTTTCCTTCTATTTATTTGACGGCTTCTTTGAAAAATATTATATATATATGTTGTGTCCGATTTAGATTTCCGTCCGATTTAGATTCAATCTAAATCGGACGTCCGATTTAGATTGAACTTATCGCGGACGTCCGATTTAGATTACAGTCTATATCGGACGACTCAATCTAAATCGGACGTCTTATATAGATTGAACAATAATATAAACATGTTTAATATATGTTCTTAAGCGTTTTCTGTAGTTTTCTGCATTTTTCAAAGGTCTGTTACTGTCTTTTTCTGAAAAGAAAACCCAACTATGAAATAATCAATAAAAGACCTTTGAAAATGCAGAAAACTACAGAAAACGCTTAAGAACATATACTAAACATGTTTATATTATTGTTCAATCTATATAAGACGTCCGATTTAGATTGAGTCGTCCGATATAGACTGTAATCTAAATCGGACGTCCGCGATAAGTTCAATCTAAATCGGACGTCCGATTTAGATTGAATCTAAATCGGACGGAAATCTAAATCGGACACAACATATATATATGCTTTATTCAGGGGCGAATAGAAGCAAATAAAATCTTTCGCTAGCCGTTTATGAATCATTCTTTAGCGGTTAGCCGTTAACGAATCATTCGTTAACGGCTACGACA